CATCTGAAATTAAACGTTTGCGCGAGGAGCATCCCGGCGAGCCATATGTGACCAAGAATGGCCGAATTCTCGGCCAGCTTGAACCCAGCCGCGCTTTCGGTGATGCTTTCTACAAATGGAGCCGGGATGTCCAAGATACGATAAAAGCGAAGTTTTTTGGGCGCACTCCTCATCCTATGTTGAAAACGCCTCCCTATGTGACTGCCGAGCCTATCATTACTACCACCAAGATTGATCCCTCCAAGGGTGACTTTGTCGTCATGGCTACCGATGGTCTGTGGGAGATGCTGAGCAATGAAGAAGTTGTCGGCCTGGTTGGTCATTGGGTTGAGCAACAACAATCTGCTGCTGCAGCAGGCACAGGTAGCAAGGCTTGGTTACAGAGCTGGTTCGGATTCGATAGTCAGAAGAAACTGCCCGTGGAAACTGCAACCGACGGATCGACCGAAGGCCAACGGCGTCCCATCCGCCAGCAGCAATATGATATATCTGGCGCGGCTACTCGATTTGTTGTCGAGGACAAGAACGCAGCAACGCATCTTGTGCGGAACGCAATGGGCGGAAAGGACAAGGATATGGTGTGTGCGCTGTTGACGTTACCCAGTCCTTACTCTCGCCGATACCGGTATGGATATCCTTTTCATGACATTTAGTTTTCAGCAGTTTGGCTAATTTTTCTTAGTGACGATGTTACTGTTGAGGTCATCTTCTTTGGCCAGGGCCCTGATTCGCGCACTGTGGAGGTCAATCAGGAAGCGAGTGCCTCAGAGCAGGCTCCGAAGTCAAAGCTTTAGGCATCCCTTTTGTTTTATCTTTTATTCGTGACATTTCCAAAGCATGTTGAAGGGTGGCGGGATTTCTTTTGATACGTTTTGCAATCTACTTTCTCCAGTGGTCATCGCTCCTGGGTATATGGCACAAGGCCAAGACAAGATACTAGGCAATATGTAGTTTCTCTAATCTTATGAACTATCTACAATGTCCCTAGTTATAAATAGAAAAATTGTCTGTGTGTTTTAAGCCTTTTAGCTCCTTCGTACTCCGTATATTGTACACAGTAGAGTGATAAGCGCTGCATGTTTACTGTACGATCATTCCCATTCCCAGCTGTACTTCTGTAGCTACTAATTGTGGCTTTACATACAATATCCTTAATATCATGCTGAGCCACCTGGGCATGTAAGTCAGATTATTAAAGTCGCACGTCGTCAAGTATACAGGCCGCATACGCCGCCGACTATTCTTGTGTGAGAAGTAAAAAAAAAAAAAAATATTGTACATGAATGCGGATGGGCAAAGATAGTGATGCTACACAATGAACCTCGAAACCAGTCGATGAACTATGTGCATCTTGGATTGCCATTTCGCAGGGGGATTGGACCAAATTATGAACGTTGACGCGCAATCCCAGAGCCTATCCGAACCGGCTCATAAGATCTGTACCAGTCGCCCAGAGGGCATGGATTGAATCAAATCTGACACGAGCTTGCTGTCAAAATTCGGTGTAAAAGTGGCATCCATCATGATGAACCTCTGAAATTCATTTGAAGCCAGCGCGTGGGTAGCTCGTAACTCTATAATGGAGCATGGCTGGAAAACAACCTTCGATTCATGGCATAGGGAAGAACCCATTTCATTCCAGATGAAACGTTTCCCGCCGATGGAATCAGCGTAAGTTTTTCAATTGGAAAGGGTCGTTATCACCCGGCTTCTCGAAAGCGATGGATCTCTCGTTGAAGCGGTTTAATGTCACCGGTGAAAACACCTTATTGTCCAGTATCCAAGTCTGCAGCGTAGCAAGATTGGTACTGGTAATCCAGTAGAGCATAAGCGCAGTTGGCATCTCTTGAACAAAACTTGCGAAGCCAATATAGCAGGTTAAAACTATGACAAATGCCCGCAATCCGGTGAAAGAGATCTGCTTGTACATCTCGGTCTTTGAAAGGAGCGGGATCTCCTTCCAAGGCCGGACTTTCCATCCCATCAGAACGTTCCCCAAAATCGACGCAGTCAGAAAAACTGGCAGCACGCCTGTTGGGTCACCGGCCAGCAAATCCGGGAACCAGAGAGCGCCCTCGTTCGCAAGAGTGGGCTCAGTGGTTAAATGCAGAGATTTGGCTGCGGAGGCAGGGTCTTGCGACGACTCGATGAACGATGACAGCCAGGCAATGATGCCCTTATCGTTGCCGCTCATCCCGCGTAGACTCTCCATGAGCGCAATGAAAACAGGTATCTGCAGGAAACTAATTGCTTTGTGCTTGCCGGACACTCCCCAACGCTTATGAAGCTCAGCTGTTCGTTTTCTTATATCGAGCATGGCTTTTTTCTTTGCTTCAGCACGTGTTACAGTCTTGAGACCCATAATGTCTCTGCGCTGGCTCGAATGTATCTCTGCATATCTCTTTACCCAAGCGCTTAGAATCGGCGATATTTTTTTTTCGCGATGGCGATGGAGTCGAGAGTATAACAGGATGGGTAATCCAACAAATGTACGAACAAGAACAGCCGTTAAAGGAATTGAGGCAACCCATGGTAAGCATGAAACAGTGTGGACGCCGTGAATAAATGCAGTAGAGCCGTCTAGTGCAAGGTCGAGAATGGAGGATGAAGTTGATCTTGTTGGGTGGAAGTGTCGAACTTGTGAACGAGGCAATTGTACGATTTGCCGCGGTAAATGTAGAGCCTGTGCCGAGCGGAGGGCATACATTACTGCTGGCGAGGTGAGGATGAGATATATAATAAAAGATGGCTAGAAAACCTGAAGCTATAAAAGCTGCGGAACGGAAATCGGAGATCTATCATGTGACACGTATGAAGTTACTTCATTGGCCCGACTGATCAAGTTGTTGACAGCAAGAGAGGGGGACCATTTTCCGACTTGTTCTCAAGCTTGACTTCAAATTCTCTTACTATGTGTGATTTCTGATGAGGTCTCTTTAAATATTGCCTTTTCACCATGGCTCTCTTATCAAACGCCGTTCTGGCCATTCTGGTCCTCACCGCCACGGCTATCCTGCTTCCGAAGCTAACAGGCGTTCTTCTCGGTCTAGTCTTTCGGGGAGTGGGCTGGCTAATATGGCGACGAACACGGTCTCGCCGTGAATATGTGATCGCGCGGGCGCGATCCGAAGAGGAGGAGTTACACGCCTCACGGCCGAAGGGTTCACCAACTTCATCACCGCGGAACGGGGCCGAAGATGAGGACTGGGAGAAGGTGGATAGCTCAGGCGCAGGCGGGGTACAAACTGCAACTGGCAGTGAAAACAGCGGCGGTATTGGCGACGAAAACAACCAGAGTCCGGAGGACTGGGATGGGATTATTGGGTTCTTCCACCCATTCTGGTATGGCATTCTCTACACATATCAAAACACACAACGCTGACTAGTTGCTACAGCAATGCCGGCGGAGGCGGCGAACGAGTCTTGTGGGAAGCCATACGTGCAACACAGAAACGCTGGCCTAAGGCAATCTGCGCTATCTACACGGGGGACCATGAAGTCAATAAAGCCACGATGCTGGAGAAAGTGGAAAACCGGTTCAACATTCACCTGCATGCGCCAACAGTGGTACTTCTATACTTGACGACCCGCAAGTATGTTGTTAGTAGCTCATACCCTTACATGACGCTCCTGGGGCAGTCGCTGGGGTCACTGGTTGTTGCCTACGATGCTTTCACGTTACTTGTACCGGACGTTTTTGTTGACACCATGGGCTATGCCTTCACACTTGCTCTGTGTAAATGGTTTTTCCCAACGGTGCCTGTTGGCGCCTATGTTCATTACCCGACCATATCAACCGACATGCTGGCCTCTCTTGACGATAAAAGTGGGGTGCAAGGGATCAATTCCGGCGCAGGGAAGGGGTGGAAAGGGAAAGCTAAGCGTCGGTACTGGGAGATCTTCGCCAGGCTGTATGGCTGGGTCGGTCGCCAGATCGATGTAGTTATGTGCAACTCGTCCTGGACAGCTGAGCACATTCGCACCCTCTGGGGCACCGGCAAGAAAAGCAGCAACAGCAGCGGCGACGGGACTGCATCATCTCCAGCGGTGGTGTTCCCTCCAACAGCAGTCAGAGAACTACAATCAAGTATTGTCGTTGACGTGGAGAGCGAGAAGACTCGCCAGCCTGTTCTACTTTACATCGCCCAATTCCGGCCAGAAAAGAATCACCCGCTAGTATTGCGCTCGTTTGCGCGATTCCTACAAGAACGAACAAACAACCCAGCCTATGAAGGTCAACCCGCTCCACGTCTTGTGCTCATTGGATCCGTGCGCCATTCCAGCCCTGATGAAACCCACATCTACAATCTGCGCCTCCTGGCGCATGAACTCCGCATCCGCGACCATACCACCTTCTTGTGCGACGCCAGCTGGCCTGTCATGCTGTCACATCTCCGTACCGCATCGGTTGGCGTTAATGCCATGTGGAACGAGCACTTCGGTATTTGCGTCGTGGAGTACCAAGCCGCTGGTCTCATCTGTGTGACACACGACTCGGGCGGTCCACGTGAAGACATTGTCGTCGATTTGGGCGACGGTGCAACTGGGTTTCGTGCTGAAACAGAAGAGCAGTTTGCTGCTTCTTTCGAGGCTGCCCTTGCTCTTCCGGAGGCAGAGAAACTTGCCATGCGGCAGCGGGCTCGTCGCTCAGCTCAACGGTTCACCGAAGAGGAGTTCTCCCGCAAGTGGCTGGATCAAGTACAAAAGCTTGTTAAGGCGTCGAAGGTTTAACTTTGTGATATCCCCCCTGGAAATAGACAAATGGCATTTCAATCTAGTTTAATGGTTCGCTGAAACAAGAAGTCAATTCTATGATAACAGCCCCTAAAGACTGTACTTAACTCGTAATAATCGTAAAATAGAAATAGAAGACGTGGCCAAGGCTAAGACTCGTGCATAAAAACAGACATCTTAACTAGGGCAACTTAAGCCTTCGAACTAGAAAGTGGGGGTGCCTGCAATACAATGGATGACAGTGCGGACACCCTGACCTTCCCCCTTTAATCGCTATCACTGGCCTCTCCACCATCCGAGTCAGCTCCATTGCCGGTATTTTGAATACCCTCAGCCATAATATACTCGGTTTGTTGAAGGGTCTTCTTAATCTCGTTATTGTTGAAGACCAGCTCGGCAGGCTTCTGGCCATGCTTATTCCGCACTCGAGGGTCACAACCAGCCTCACACATCATCTTGATCATGGCCTCACCCAGTTCTGCGTCTTTATCGTTGGCGTACCGCACTGCGATATGCAAAGGCGTGTCCTTGTCCAGCCGGGTCAACGGGTCACACTCGAAGAATTGAATGTCAAACAGGGCGTCCATGGTATCATCTAACCAAAATAAAAGAATTAGCTTGCATGAAACATTGGCATTGAAGAAGTGGCAAAGTAAACACGTACAGCTGCCGTACTGGGCACAGATGTGCAATGCGTGATTTCCCATGGAGTCTGTCAACTCGTTGAAGAAGTGTGCCACTTGCTCGTTTGATTTCTCTTCCATTTCGTTCAGTACTTGCTCAATTAGGTGGGGTTGATCCCGGCGGCAGGCCTCCACGACCAGCTCGCGGGGTGATGCGCCCTAAATCATAGCGGCATTAGCATTGATACTTAACAAGGGTCTGTGAACAGTATGCACCTCGTCAGCCATCTCTGTATATGGGTTCACAGAAAGTCCGGGTTACCCGAGAGTGAAGTCGGTAATACAGGGATTGGTGCTCAGGTGTAATAGAACGCGTAGAGCTAGTTGTAACAGGGGTCGGGCGTTTTGTATGGGTATTTTGCCGAGCAGAATAGGTCTTCCACAGGGAAACAAAGTAGAATATGTATGTACAAGCTGGACTGCAGGTTAGACAGGCATCCAAGTTCCTGGCAAATACTACAGGTTATCGGAGTTGTCCCCCAGGGGACGGCCCATACGCGGGCCGCCTGGATATACAATTCTCCGGATCAGATTTGGATTTAGCCGCGCGCCTAGACATCTCATCGACGGTGATGTTCTGCAGCTGACGGTGACTACATTGTTCAGCTGCTGAGAAGCTAATTTACTCCCAGTCTAACTTTCTATCGCTTTCTTTGCCTTGCCAACGGCATCCTCTAGCCAGATCATCAAGATGCTAGTCTGTATGTGCTATCTCCGAGTTGACGGTGTCTAGCGGCGGTCCAGAACAGAAACTGACTCCTCCCTCTAGTCTGCCCCAATTGCAGTAATGCGCTCACCATTTCCAAAGCGGAGTCGAGCACTAGATTCCCCGCGGGCGTGAACCGCTTTGAATGCCGCGTCTGCCCCTACGAAGCTCCGCTGGAAAAGAACTATTTCGAGAAGAAAGATATGAAGCAAAAGGAAGTGGACGATGTCTTTGGTGGCAAGGAGGAGTTTGCCAATGCTGACAGTGTCGGCAGTAAGTTCTTTTTGCTATCTTCTCTCAGAAGTGACATGCCCGTTAGATATACCGAGCTAACATACTCTCTTTTCTTTTTCCTTACAGCTCAATGCCCCGCCGAAAGCTGCAATGGGGAACGTGCGTACTTCTTCCAGCTGCAGATTCGCAGTGCAGATGAACCGATGACTACATTCTTGAAGGTATGTCTCCCTCCTTACGTCTAGCGTGAGGTACCCGTGTCTGACAGCTCCAGTGTACTTCGTGCGGTGCTCGGTGGAGAGAAAATTAGAGTTGGGCGAGGCTGGAAACAAGTCACTCGCATTGCTCTTTGCTTTCATTTTTGGGTTTTATTACAGCGAGGTGCAAATGGCGCATTTACCAAGTGTTTTGTGGGCGTATGTAACTCAAAAGCTATCAAGTTGATACAACGATACCCAAATTTAAAATTGATCGACGTCACAGTCCAACGCACAGATTATTTTATGATCTGCGGAAACTTTTTGGTGGACATGGATCTAAATTTTTTATGCAATTTTATTATCTATCTTTTTTTATTGTGGCTTTAGATTTTGCGCTTTTTGACTATAAATACAATTGGTCTAGTACAGATATAGAGCCCGACATTAGTTTCTAAATCCGAATATCCAAGACCGAAAAGAAAGGGAAAAAAAGAAGTTTCATGCATGACATTGTTGGTGGGATAAGTTGGCGGTGAGAGTGTTGCCCCTCATCCGCGGGGTCCTAAAAGACAAAGTGAAAAAAAAAGTGAAAATTTGGATCAAGACATCCAATATCGCCACGGTAATCAATACTGGACCAACAGAATATGGAAGCTACGCAAAGTAAACAATGCAAACTACAAGTTTTTTTACCCAACCACTCTGCGTTGCTGCCCAGTTCAAGCGTTTAGAGCCACATAGTGGGCTGGGACGGAGCCGATGAAAAAAAAAAATTCGCACGGGGTGGAGTGCCATGGCAGGCCACAACCAGGGAAACGGAGGGGTGTTTCAAGCACCAAAGTAGACAGTACTTCGTATAATATGGATAACTACATATTGTAGCATGTACATCTACATCAGCCCACCAACCCACTTTGCAAAATCTGCGTACACAGGTAAGGGTTAGAGCCAATCAGAAGCCCTAACCAAAAAGGGCTTGGCCCCACCTGCTGACTCGCCTCTCTCGCTTGCCCCTCCATATAAGGATTTCCCCTCCTCCCCTCTCCCACAGACTTTTCTTTCTTCCTCTTGTCTGCTACAGTGAGTATTTCCTACCCCCCTTACTGCTTTTAGCTCTTCCTCTTCCAACTACTCTTACTGATTACTTTTGCTCAGTACCTCTACGCGTTCTGCCGTAGTCTCTGAGCAATTTTTCTACAGATTTTTTCTAGTATCTTACAAAGAACTACAAAAAGTTCCAACCGTCATCATGGGGTATGTGACCATTTGTTCACTTTTCAGAAGAGTTGAGACTGACTTTGCCCAACAGTAAAGAAGAGCGTAGCCACATCAACATCGTCGTTATCGGCCACGTCGATTCCGGCAAGTCCACCACCACTGGTCACATGATCTACAAGTGTGGTGGTATTGACCAGCGTACCATCGAGAAGTTCGAGAAGGAGGCTGCTGAGCTCGGAAAGGGTTCTTTCAAGTACGCCTGGGTTCTTGACAAACTCAAGGCTGAGCGTGAGCGTGGTATCACCATCGATATCGCTCTCTGGAAGTTCCAGACTGCCAAGTATGAGGTCACCGTCATCGGTAAGAGGCTTTCCATTCGTTCTCTATGTAGCACACATACTAATATATCTCATTACAGATGCCCCCGGTCACCGTGATTTCATCAAGAACATGATCACTGGTACCTCCCAGGCCGATTGCGCTATTCTCATCATCGCCTCCGGCACTGGTGAGTTCGAGGCTGGTATCTCCAAGGATGGTCAGACCCGTGAGCACGCTCTGCTTGCTTTCACCCTCGGTGTTAAGCAGCTCATCGTTGCCCTCAACAAGATGGACACCTGCAAGTGGTCCGAGGACCGTTACAACGAGATTGTCAAGGAGACCTCCAACTTCATCAAGAAGGTCGGCTACAACCCCAAGTCCGTTCCCTTCGTCCCCATCTCCGGCTTCAACGGCGACAACATGCTTGAGGCTTCCTCCAACTGCCCCTGGTACAAGGGTTGGGAGAAGGAGACCAAGGCTGGCAAGTCCTCCGGAAAGACCCTCCTCGAGGCCATTGACGCCATCGAGCCCCCCGTCCGTCCCTCCAACAAGCCCCTCCGTCTTCCCCTCCAGGATGTGTACAAGATCTCCGGTATTGGCACAGTTCCCGTCGGTCGTGTCGAGACTGGTATCATTACCCCCGGCATGATCGTCACCTTCGCCCCCGCCAACGTCACCACTGAAGTCAAGTCCGTTGAGATGCACCACCAGCAGCTCAAGGCCGGTAACCCCGGTGACAACGTCGGTTTCAACGTCAAGAACGTTTCCGTCAAGGAGGTTCGCCGCGGTAACGTCGCTTCCGACTCCAAGAACGACCCCGCCGCCGCTTGTGACTCCTTCAACGCTCAGGTCATTGTCCTGAACCACCCCGGTCAGGTCGGCGCTGGATACGCTCCCGTCCTCGATTGCCACACTGCCCACATTGCTTGCAAGTTCTCTGAGCTCCTCGAGAAGATCGATCGCCGTACCGGTAAGGCCACCGAGGCCTCCCCCAAGTTCATCAAGTCCGGTGATGCCGCTATCGTCAAGATGGTTCCCTCCAAGCCCATGTGTGTTGAGGCCTTCACCGACTACCCCCCTCTCGGTCGTTTCGCCGTCCGTGACATGCGCCAGACCGTTGCCGTCGGTGTCATCAAGTCCGTTGAGAAGAACGCTGGTGGCGCTGGTAAGGTCACCAAGGCCGCTGCCAAGGCTGGTAAGAAATAAATGATTCTCGGATGATGTTCATTATGCCGTGATGATTTTTTTCTTTTCAAAAACAGTTACTGGTTCTCTTAAGGTAGATTTGCTGTGTAGTTGCTCAAAATGACTACCCACATTTTTATGACTCAATTTCTCTTTTTCTCGTAAACTTGTATCAACCGTAGAGATGAATCTGTCTGTAGACAATAGTCTGTAAAATAGTTGATCACACCTTTGACGGCGTATATGTCCCACCCTCAGCCACTTTCGATGAATCTCGAGTTTTGTAACGTGTGTCTTGAGGCCAGCAACGCTCGAGTTCTATGATAGACACCCACATCCATGTGTTATCTACCTCGAGGGCTCTGTCAAGACTGTACCTAATATTCGTTTCAGGTTCTCTTTCTTTCTACTATACCCATATAACTTATTACCTGACTTCAGCGTCTTATTCCAATCCTTGTAGCCGCATTATAGTCCTCGCATTGGCTTCATATTGAACGATATCAAGTAATCACTAGCACCATGTTCAATCTGGAACCCAGCTGCATGTCAGTTCAATCCTGGTTGTTGGACATAGAAGACTATTCCAGGCTGGTCTTTAAAGAAGCAAGCTCAATTACTCACCCCCGAGTCTGATCAGCCGGAAACATATATCTTCGTCATTTGTGTGTGTATATGTTATGGTTCTTCATGTATATAGTCCAACAAAAAGAAGCCCCAATGAATAAAGACCGCTTTGAACTATGATTACCGAAGTGTTTAACATCCAGAATTCCATGGCCTTATACACTGAACTCATAGGTACGTATACGCTCCAGCCAATCTCAATTTACACTGACGCGACCGTAGAGGGTTTGTCGGATGAAAAGTAGAACGAGGGCGAGCACTACGGGTAGTCTTCTCAGAGTGGATTGAAGCACAGTAGAAGAGATAGTTGCTTTCAACTCATTTAGCCTGTACAGTCTTCCAAGTGTATTAAGGTACTTTCCAAAGAACAAAGCGAAGTTGTCCTGCAATGACGAACCCATGGAAGTTGGTTTTTTATTGTTTTTCATATTTATGTCCTATAGCTACCTCACTTGGTTAAAGGCAGCATATTTTCTTTTTTGTTGAATACAGGTCACAAATCTTTTACTGGTCATGGATTTAAACCTCGATCTTTCTCTGCCTTCCTACTCCCCAGAGCTTGGAGATTTCCATAATAAAAACCTAGATTCTGCAACCTCCGCATTATACACCTTAGCTGACGTCTCGGCCAGCGAGCTTGAGAGCATTGCTTCTTTACTTGATAAGGAGTAGATGGAAAACAGGGCAACGAAGGACCACATCTCGTCCTTCTAGCGCCTTCGAACAACTTTGCAGGGAAGAGCCTCAATGACATCGTCACGAACAGGTCCAAATGGATAGGAAAGGGACACCTCGCGATGATGCAGGCGCAACTGGAGATCTGAGCTGGTACCTTTCCGCCTTTCTAGCTGAAGCAACGAATTGAAGAAGCATGGGATATTATTTGTGTACGCGGACACTGAATAGATCGGGTTTCCCGTGGACAAATTCTTCATTCCAAAGGACGGGTATATGATGCTTTCTAGTATCATATTTGGCGATGAAGAATGTGCCCGAGTCAAAGATTTGCGATTAGCCATGAGCCTTGCTCGTGACAGCCTATCAAGTTGGGGATGCAAGCCTGGAACATCCATACAAGTCAATTGCAACCTATCTATTGATCTATTACACAAATAGGAAAGAATTTGTCATTTTCTCTCGAAATACCACTGGCTTTAGGCTGATAGAGAAAATGAATCAAGAAGCAGGAACAAACTAGCTTCTAGGTACTACATAGTTAGCTACCCGAGTTTACTATAGATCGAAGATGAAAAGGCAAGTATTGGTCAAACTTTTGTAAATGATCTATCGTATCTTGGGTATCAAGTTGTAGACACATGTACTCACATGTAGTATGTATCCCTACGTCATCACGGCATGCCGATCAAATATGTGTATTAATCACTCCTCGTACTCTCCAGAACCAGAATCTTCCTCCTCTTCCTGGGTAGGACCATGCCTCGAAGACCGTCGAGGCTCCGAGCTCTGCGGCGCCTCACGTCCCTCTCCGTTCCCATCCACATCGCTAGCACTATCCAACCCACCGGCTCGTATGGGTACCGGGTCAACCCCAAGACTTCTTCCAAGCTTCCCCTCAAAGTCCTCGAGATCTTCCCTCTGCAGTTGAGTCAAGCCCGCATGGTCACCCACGTCTTTCCCGTAGACAGTTCGCACCAGACCCGCCACACCACTCGTTCCAACCTCAATTTTGCCTCGCGGTCCAAGGACATACTCAACCACCTCCTCACCCCCATCCATTTCCCGTGTCTTTATAATGTACCCTTCCTTACATAGCCGCTGTAGTAGCTTGTCGGTACGATCCACCGGCGTAGCAACCTCCGCGTTTGTGCGCGCCAGGTACCGGTCAAGTTTCTGTTCAGCCAACGAACCGCCATTCAGCATAATCACCGCGATGATGAAGCTGTACAGGCCCGTGTATGTGCTTTCAGTGTAGAGGGAGGGTGCTTTGGTTGGAATGAGGATATCGGAGGAACGGTATGGGAGCGGCAAGGTACTGGTAACGATCCAGGACTTATTAGCCGAGGAAGGTTTTTCGGTTTTTTGTGCAGCTGTTGTACAGGATGTCAGTAGTGATTTAAGACATAGCGTGGGTCTGCAACAAAAGAAAAAGCAAGACAGAATTCAACCCACCTCGTCGTTGGGTAATGGTGACTTTCTCTCGCGCCGGTAACTCGGTCATCTCCATACCAAAGCGCTGCCTCATTTCCCGCTGCGCTTGATCAAAGACTAGTTTGAACTGTCGCGAGCCCTGCTCGCCCAGTACTTTGGCGCTGATGTCGTTGCGCCGGATCGGGAGTCGCGAGTACTCGCTCGCTATGGCGAGTCGTACCATTTTTTTCACCATTGCATCGGTGCTGGTTGGTGCGCTTGGTCCATCATCGTCGCTGTCTGGTGCGGATGATGAGTCGGGTTCTTCGCTTTGTCTTCTGCGCCGACGAGCGCTTGGGGTTGACTCGGTCTCGGATGCTGCGTTGCTCTGGGGATGGAGGTTAGTTGATGGATAAACTGAGTAGATGTGAGGTTGCATACCCGTCTTTTACGATTTGATAGCATTTTGATTAGGTATGGTGGTAAGTTGCAGGTGGATTTGGGAGACGCGACGCGATAGAACGATTTTACCTCATCGGGGTTGGTCCGTGCCAGGCCCTTATCAATGGTTCTTTGTTTCAGCCAATGCGTTTTGGGGGTCACTTTTCTTATTTGAGGAGTTCGAAGACTGCCTTTGATGATTTATTAAAGAAAAAAATCTCTACAACATCTACAGAGATACGGGGTATAATATTATGTGCTTTACGTCGAGGTACTTCGTAGAACATACATCAATAGACCTGGAAAAGAGAACTAAATACAACGAGGGTAATGCAACACACACAACAGCGATGAGGTATTATTTTCTCTAAAAGGAAAAGAAAGAAAAAAACGGAAGAAGAACGCTCCAAAGGGTCAAAGAGATCTAAAATCAGTGGCTGTTCTTCTCATTGACAACCTCCTTCGCTTCCTCCTTCTTAGTCTGGAGGAAAGCGCTAACCCAAGCCAGTGATTCCTGCGACAGAACCAAGCTGGTAGTGACGACAGCCTTGCCCGAAGCGAGTACACCATCTCCACCGCACTTTTTGTACTCAGAGCCATAAATATCGGTGACATGGTGCTTGACATCGCCGGCGACGCGGACAGGTAGCGAGGCACTGTTGTAGATGGTGCCGCGCAGCTTCTGGGTGTCCTCTTTCAAGATAGGGAAGCGGGTGTCGATCTGGGTCAGACCCTTATCACCGAGGGAGTCGGCGCGGGCTAGGTAGGGAGCGACATAGCTGTAGGGAGTGGAGAAGTAGGGCAGGACGGGTTTAGCGAGACGGGTGTAGCCCTGGTCGGCGTATACAAGGGACTTGGCTCCGTAGGGGTTACCCTTGTAGTAGGAGATAGAGTCGGAGATGATGGGATAGGAAGTCAAATGCTAGATTTGGGAGTGTTTAGTTAGTATGGGCTGATCTTGGCTCTAGTTCTGCGTTTTGGAGTTGGGTTGGAGTGGAGGGGTATACATACGTCAAGGAACTGAGAGTAGTGCTTCTCGCCGTTGACAACCGGTTCACCCATTTTTGCTTCTGCGTGGGGCATAAAGATAGTAAACTTAGTAGAGTATAGTAGAATAAGAATCCAGAAGGAAAAAAAGAAGAGAGACAGAGGAATAAATTGGGTTGTATAGCGAAAAAGGATTTTCACATGTGATTGCGCTGTCATTATGCAATGGGTCCTACCGCAATCGCATCATTCAATACATCGTATTCTCTGGTTATTTGAGTTATTTGGGTTATTTTGGTTGGCTATTTTTGTTCTCTTTAAATTTTTCTTGTCTTTTTCTTCTCTGGCTTGTTCTTCTAGGGAAAAAAAGGGTTCAATAGCCTTAGATTCTAAGTGATGCCCCCACGCCAATGCGCCATTGACTTTGGTCGCTATGCACTCTAAACTATCGGCAATTAAGTCCATATGGCTAGATATAGCTATTAGGTATTGTATATATTCTTTTCCCATACCAAATATACTTGTTTTAGTTGCAAAAATCTTGAAACACTGAATTTTTGATAAGAGCTACTTTTGGCATGTGATTGCGGGTCTGATGCAAAAACGCTGTGTGGTTCCACTTGGGATGATCTCTATCAATGATCTATTCTCTCTTATACTCCCTACAGCTTTTCTTATTATATTCTAGGGTTCTTTCAAGGGTATATCCCTGATATCCATTTGACCCAAAAATGAGGGGATGACTTCCCAAGCCAAACCTTGTTTTCACCCGTTCCACCGTTTTTCGTTGGACGAAACTGCTTATCTGCACCCTATAGCAAAACCGCCCAGACGGCCGCAGACGGCCACTGATCGGGGCCAACCTGCCAGAATATGATTGATGCTTCGGCTTCTAGGTTATGTGAGCCTAGCCCCGTCTGCACGTTATGCTAGTCATGTATCCACCCATTGGCCTAAGCGTCAAGTCCCCCCAACCGCCTATACTCTCGGAAATACGTAATGACTTCCGGTCCAACTGTAGGGCCAGATTGCGCAAGCTCGCCGGATTGGAGATCGTTCTTCCGGCCCCGGGTAGATGAAGTGATTCGTCGCGGACTCATCCGAATCTCGGCGCTCGATGTGACCCCACGAAACGGTTGCGTTCAATAGGAATATTTATAGTATTATGGTCATACTATATTTATTACTCTAGGTGCTTTATGTGCTTTATGTGCACATAAAGTACCTTGGTACTTTGTACATATTTAGACCTTTGTGTTCCTACTGCCAAAGAATGCAGACATGATAGTTAACTATGTATTCGGTGTAACTAAGAGGGTAAGCCCGGGGGTGGCCAGCTTTCCCCAGCATTGTGGTCGACATATGCAAAACCGAAGATGTTGACAGGACCAAATATGTCATGAGCATTGAGATTCGAAGCTGGAGGGGGTGAGTTCTTTTTTTTCCCCCTCATCCCTGCCGTTTTCTTTTTCCCCTTTGCTGAGGTGAACGGATTCCGGCGATCGACTGGCAACCCACTCGATTAAGCTACTATGCAGATCTCTGTACGTCGTGGGTCTTGACCACGGTTGTCTCAACATCTACAAAGTACATACTTTGCTTTGGCTCTTCTATCCCAGTAAACTTTATAATACCCGCCCAAAAGTTATGCCACGTTCGACTTATCTCTGCTTTTGGAGCCATTGAGTTTGTTGTGTAGTGGAAAATCAATCCCTTCTCGATTCAGGCAGAAGGCGCGCCATTTCATTTTTACTTCTGATATACAATCATGTTTAGAAATCTAATTACCACAATATTACATATGCGGGTGGCGGTTAGGACGTGGAATCTCGGTTATAGCCTTTTGAACATCTAGCGTCGCGGAGGCCCGTGGCCCGCTGTTAGCTGAGCGCGATATCCATTTCACATGCGAAACTGAGGTATCATTTAGCGCTGGCTCAATATCAGGGATTCAATTGTGTTGCCTTGAGATCAATTGGTCGACCCAAGTGATGGTCACATGAAATCAGGTGAATCCAAGGTGCTGGTGTTTTACCTGTGATCAATTGTGCCGGAAACTAATATTTTCGAAGCGCTTTACCCTTGGCTTGGCAGTTGTTAGCCACATCGACCCTGAAGGAGAATACCACGTCAACAGGTGTGCCAAGGGAATCGGCTGTCGGAGATGATGCTACGCATTAGTGGGTGTATTTTATGGTCGCTTTGTTGTCCAAACCACGCCACCTTAGAACTCTGAGTTTCACATATTCTTGATACTATCATATGATTTATGCTGAAACCGGCCGTTACACAGCTATGCACACCGTACATAATATAGTATGGCAAGATGCATTGTTCTCGGCATGCGGGCTCTCATTTTATATTCCCACCTTCCACATGATAGTGGTAAGCTGGCTATCCCAGTTTCCATCCTGGCGTCTGTTATGAATTCTATACAACACCTGTGGTACTTGTGGTACTCTAGGTATTGGTATTACCTTTATTTTTATGGCTTATTGTTTGGCCAATTTCTACTTCTTATATGTCGAATTTTTGAGAATGATTAACGTCATAGACTGTATTTAACGTGATTCTATCCTTTTTTTTTTTTTTTTTTTTTTTTTTTTTCAGAGAAGGAAAAGGAAAACATATATATTAGGCCAGGCAAACAAAAGATCAGAACAAAACCTATCGGGTGCTCATAATAATACCCCCCAATCTACGGTGGTTAGAATCTACCTGCTCAAGAATCGAAATGACCTCGCAAGTATTAAGACATCTCAGTGGAATTGCCAGGACGTTCATCCTCGCAATTAGGGACCTGACCAGTACGTGGAAAATACAGACAGTATCACATGCGTTACGGCAGGTGATAATAGCTGAGGTAGATCGGCCGCAGTTAGCTGAAGGAAAGCCATCTTGCTGTGTTCCTTCAGGGAGGCACGTGAAATTCAATGGAGCGGTAGCGGGGATACGAAACATCCTTACAACTGACTAACAAAAGCAGGATGATCGTTTTATAGAGACATATTCCAAGGATCGATAGGGTCCTCCCCAACAGGAGTGTGCGAGGGTACTCTGAGAATAACGTCAAAGGGACCAACTGTGGGCGATCTTTGCTTGAGAATCAACTTCCAAAGATGCCAAAAGCTTGTGTCAATCATGTGTTGGCCTGTGTTCGCACGGAGCCGCCAATAGCACGGGGCTTCATTAGCGCTGATTCTCACCTCTGCAACCTCAAAGGGTGGGACCGGAACCTCATGAAGGAACCTCTCAGGGAGATCGGCTATGCCCTCGAACTCATTCTGGATTTGCACCCACTTTTCCTTGTATTGTTTTTCGAAGAACTCCGTCCACTGTGGGTTTACTCCGCTGTCAGCTAGCCCCGCGGACATCTCCCAGATGAAATACTCGGTGTTAACCCACCTGTCGATACTGGCCGATGTCTTGAGAAGTGAAGTAGTGTCACGGTACACGCTGCAGCGCATCAGGACATGAGGCTCGGCTCGCACGACTACCATGGGCATGTTGTAGTGTCGATGGACCTCGTTGTCCAACCATTCCTCCCTGAGGTCCTCGCGGATTGTTTTTAGAGGCTCGGACATGATTACGGAAATATGATCGCTGGTGATATGTGTATTGACTTGCAGTTTGGTGTGTATCGTGTTGGGTGTTTGAATAGTTGATTGAAATAATAACTCAGTCGTGGCCAGATGATATGGGGTGAAGCTGATGGAGGCTTATGAAGAAGAGGGTTCATATAAATATTACGTGTGGATGGCATCAATTATGAATGAAAGGCTATGATCTGAGGCTATGGAGACTAAGATAGAAAGAAACAATGAACACAAAGAATGCATTTCTCTAATCTCGAAGACTATATCGAGAATACCATTCAAAGATCATTGTGCCCTTGTTTAGTGGAATCAAAGCGGTTCATTGTTTGTATTGCCTGCCTTGTAGGCGAGAATACTCTAAAGCTGTCAAAGCTGTAATGCCATTGGGATAGCAACCTAAACACTGAGGCTTCACATGCTAGAAATAAGTTCAAGATTTAATTTTTGCTAATGTGAAGTGATTTGCAAGCATTGGTGCCCAGATGGTTGAGGTATGTTAGATCTTGGCGGGGGTGGGGTTCATTCACATTTGATATATGGACTGTGGAGGAAGAGGATCTATAATTGAACCACTCAGCATGGAGGTGAGGACCTAGACCTTTGAGGCATGGCTTGACATATCCTCAAAATTCGAGAATGCAGGCTTCAGATAATGATGTGTTTTAAGACCATTCCGTAGGCTCCATAAGAGGAGCTTGCGCACTGCCAGCTAGGACACGAGTAGCTGCCCTTACGAACTACAATTGCGTTACAGATGGGCATGGATACATCAATCGTAGCAATGACACCATGGAATTGTATGACCTGGGACAAACCATATAGCTACAAGGCCGTCCACCGGGTTGAGATTGATCTGTGTTGAGATAACAGACCAAAATTGTTCCCGGCCTAAGGGAAAGAGGAAGATGTCGACCAGTTCTCAGGTAATAGACAACATTGATTTTGAAATAATTGTTCATTTTCCATTTCATTCAGACGGACACCAGGTATGGAAGTGGCGCCCCCGTTAAAAAACTGGAGTTCATCGATACATTCACGAATCTGTTTCCAGCCATGGTGTATGTTTTCCCATCCCATGCTTGCAGGGACCGAATGTGCTCGATGGTTTTTCGACCTCGCCTTCACCTAGACCCGTGCGCTCAAAACGACAAAACGCCCAAGTAAACCGTTTAGAAACCTGTTTCGGATTGTTAGTTTCGAGTTTCAAAATGAATATCAATGTATATCCTGGGAAAAACGTACGCAGGGCAGTGAAGAACCAACGGTTCTTTCCGCTGGTGTAACGGTCCTCAAGGGCCTTCTTGATGGTCTTCTTGGCGTCCTCGCGCTGGGAGACCTCCTTGAAGGTGTCGTTGGTGACGGAACCCTTAAGACCCTCGAGCTCGAGAGTGTAACGGGTGGGCATCAAGTGGTTGTAGTTGACGACCTTGATGAAAGGCTTGATGCGGCTGCGGCGGTCGACGAGCTTCTTGCCCATACCACGGGTCACCTTGAGGGGGTAACGCTCGATACCGGCGACGATGGCGTAGGAGAAGGGGTGCGACTTGGAGCCAGCATCAACGGGCTGGACAATGACGACCTGTAAATTCGAACAAAAATGCCTGATTAGCACTCCGAATTTTTTTTTAAATTGTCGCGTAGTTCCTCCATATTGCATTGTGCTCTTTCAAATATCGAGTCTTTCGCTTGCAGGTCGTTTTCTTTCCATTCTCGTGCTCAATTTCGGGGAGGATCAGGATCTTGTCGTACCTTCTTACCGGCGTAGCGGCCACGGGTGATGATGGCCACACGGCCCACTTTCATGACTGTAACATATCCGTCAGCATATAAATCGCAAGGGGAATCGAATGGTGAAGACGTACACTTCATTTTGAAGGTCCCGGGGGCGGCGAGGATGGGTGGTTGTCGAGATACGGAACGGTCAAGATCGAAGTATTCGTTTTTGCGGATGTGAGGTAGAGGGTTTCAGGGCACAGTAGCGATTTGTGTGCTGTGGATTGATTGGTCGACTTACCGACAGATGGCAGCTAGCCTATTTGGGGATAGTTTCCCCATTGGGCCCGGATCAAATAATGACTATGATGACATAATCACTGTGGCGTGGCCAGGTGCCCAGCCTTGGGCCTTGGGCAGGTGTGCCCAGCGCTGCTCACCGCCTTATTTCCGCTGACTCAGGTTTTGTTTACATGACGATCGTAGTTGCCCCGGTTGCTATGGCCGTGAGTGATGTGTACAAGGCTGCGTAGCTCTTCTCTCTCTCCAGACAACTCTCATCTCCACTTGCTTTCCTTTTATCAGGCTGATCTCCCGGTGCTTTTCTCTCCTCCACCGAGTTCTGAGATTGTTAGCTTTTGCTTTGTTCTTCCAGCGTTTCCTCCCTTGTGTTGATATGCCTTGATGACCTTGCTTCTGTTTTTACTTTGAACGCATTTTACACATACCCTACATACATTCCATCCATATTGTCAATACCTCTCTGAGACATCTTGACAATCCATTCACGAAGACATCATGCCGTCCCCAGACAAGGACGCCCCCCGTGACCGGGAATTGGTCCGGCATACAATGACATATTCTGAGCCGAAAGTTCCAATGTAGGTTCCGCAACTAACGCCTCCTGATTCTTGTTTCGACGGATCAATGAGTGATTTCAAACAAATGCTAAAACGCGGTCTACGCAGGTGGGACAGTTCGGATCCCGAGCGTGCGCCTCCGCCGCTACCAATGAATCCTCGGTCGATGAGCCCAATGAGCCCTGCAACGAGGTCCAATGTTTCCCCAAACATTCAAGCAGTGGCCGCAAAATTTACAGAGAGACCCAGCGAACATGCACCTAGCTCTTACACAACGAATCCCATGCCACTCAAGTCTTCCTCTCCAGAGAGGTCGCTGGTCAAAGGTCAGCACCACAAGCGCATGCAGTCACTACAGCCTGAAGATACCCGACAAGATGCGCGCAGCGACTTTTTGAATTACCTTGAGAACAGGTCCCCAGAGCGCCCTCTTCGTGCGACGATTATTGAGGCGGCCAAGCCGCGCGACCCTACCAAGTCTATCGGTTCGCCAGCGCTCCGTCAAGACGCGGATCGGGAGATGAACTATTCCGTATCGAGTCGCTACTTATCCAAGCCAATATTGGGAGAAAGTACTCCGCCGTCAGCTACAATGTTAGCCCTGCAAAACATGCAGCTACCTTTAGAACCTGACCCTCCATCACCTTCCAAACCGCCAAAATTGATTGCTGCGCCCGTTGAGCCGCAACCTCATCCCACGAAGAATACGAGCATGGATTCCCTCTCAATTCAAATCCACAGTCTCACGGACATTGCGAGCAGCTTGCAGCGTGAGATGATGAATCTGAGCCGACGCAGCAAAGACAATGCCACCGACCTGGTTAGCCTCAAGGCGGCAACCAACGCACGCGATGAAGACATTCGCAAGAGCCTCAAGGATCTGTCTTCTCATCTTACGACCAAGTATCTGGACACTGATGCTACAAGGTTTGATTTCAGCAATCTTTTCAAGGGTGGTGATGGGCCTAACCCCAAGGATCCGGATAGTCCCGTTTCGAAGAGGAGCTACTCCGTGCCTCGCATGCCCAGCCCCAATCCATTCGCGTTTGATCGAGACTCTTGCGTCTCCCCTGCCCCGATTTCCGACGGCTCCGCAGCGCTCGCTTTGCTCGAAAAGGTATTGCGTGAGATGGCAACTAAGGAAGGTGAGGAAAGACTCTTGGAGCTTGTTGAAGAAATCAAATCTCGACCCGCAGGTACCGCTTCGGATAAAGACGCCGACAACAAGGTCACTGTCATGCTGGAAGAGATCCTCAACCTCGTCAAAGAGGATCCCGCGAGCAAAGCCCTCGTTCGGTCTTATGGCATGCCCGCCAATATTGATAATAACGAATCCGTGAATGCCTCCCATGAGCCGACACGATCTGGGTCAATGGGATCCATGGATCCTGAAACTGTACGTGCATTAGATCTTTCCAACTCTGACAAGGGAGATGGTTCTTCACCCGATTCCGATGAAGTTTTGGCAATTCTTAGAAGTGTCAAGAATAGCGTCGTTGAGGGAGGTGGAATGACCAACGGTGTAAAGTCCTTGGTGCGCGAACTACGAGGTGAGGTGCTGGGCATGGGTCGAGAACTCGGCCGGCGATTAGACGAGATCGAGAATTCCCGTGCCAATGATGAGCATGAGGAGCGGCCCAGAGCTGCCGGCCCAGAAGAAATCTCCGCCATCGTCAACCGCAGCCTGGATGACCTCAAAGAGCAGCTGGCTGCTACTATCAATGAGAGTCGGCAGCAATCGTCCGACTTGTCCGAGTTCCGGTCAACCATGAACAGTGCCGCAATCTACTCTGTTGTGAAAAAAGCTCTTGACGAGCTTGAATTTCCTCAGCCTCAAGCCGAGTCGCGAGGTGCCGAAATGGACAGAGAAGATATCCTCGAGACTGTTCGTGAAGCTTGGGAGACCTACAAGCCCGAAATCGAGTTCAACAACTTTGGCTTGGAGCGGGACGAGATCCTCACATGCCTTGAAGAAGGGCTCAAGTCTTACCAGCCCCAGCACGAACAGGCAGTCACCTACGACCAGGTACTCGCAGCCGTCGAGGACGGCATGCAGAAATTCATTCCTCCTCAAATCGAACATGAGCCAAGCATATCTCGGGACGAGATTATCTTGACCATCCGCGAATGTTTGGAGAAGCAGCCCGAACCTGCCTCCAGATCCCTTGACGATGAACACGTCGGCCACCTGCACTCAATGCGTGACGAGATTCTCGACGCTGTTTCAAAGGCCATGGCCAGTCATAACGAAGGTTCAAGGTCTCTGGGCGAGGAAGAAGTCAATCACCTCTATTCGATCCGTGATGAAATTCTCGATGCGGTCACTGGGACGATGGCAGCCAACAATACGCAACCCAAGTCTTTGGACGAGGAACACATCAACCACCTCTACTCTGTTCGCGATGAGATCATTGAAGCCGTCACTGGGGCAGTGACAAGCCATGCCGCAGGTTCCAAATCTGTGGACGAAGACCACGCCAGTCATCTGACTTCCCTCCGCGACGACATCCTTCAAGCAGTTGCTGGAGCGATGGAGAAGAACAGTACAGGCTCAAAGGAGGTGGACGAAGATCATGTCCAGCACATGTACTCCATTCGTGATGAGATTCTGGAAGCGATTACTGGAAGGATGGCAATCACCAGCACAGGGCCTAAGACTTTGGATGAGGAACACGTCAATCACCTTTACTCTATCCGCGACGAAATCATTGAAGCTGTCACGGGAACAATGGCAACCCACAGCACTTCCAGGTCTTTGGATGAGGACAACGTTGGCCAACTAAATTCTATCCGGGACGAGATCCTCGGCGCATTGGCCGGATCCATGGCACAAAGCACACTGAGCAAAGATTCATACGACTCTGGTCTTGGCCGTGATGAGATTGTCAGTGCTGTCTCCGATGGTCTCGAAGCCCACTTCACTGCAGCCAAAGAGATGGATGAGCCACGGATTTCCCGCCATGATGTTATGAATGCTGTTAATGAGGCATTTGATGCTCAACATTCAGCTCTTGCTATTGCTCACACGAACATCTCTCGCGATGAAATCTTGCATGCCATTGCTGAGGGAATTGAAAGTTCAATGAACGCGCAGCAGTCAGCCCTCAGTACCAACATTCAGCAGACCGTCTCTCGCGAGGAGATTTTCAGCGCCATCGTAGACGCTATCGAGCACTCGCAGACTTCCCTGGGCAATAATGGGGAACCTAGTATTTCTCGAGACGAGATCCTCGGTGCCATTTTGGAGGGCATGCAGGACTCATCAAACCGCCAAGAGCCCAATATCTCCAGAGATGAGATCTTGAACGCCATTGCTGACGGAATTGAGAACTCAAATAACTCTTCTTCACGTGCTCTCACATCGCCTGAGCAAGAGGCTCAGGATCAGCACTCCTCTCTCTCTCGGGAGGAGATTTTCAATGCAATTGTCGAGGGCATTGAGCACTCACATGCTTCGCTCGGCATAAATGGCCAGCCTAGTGTTTCCAAGGAGGATATCATGAATGCTATTGCTGAGGGTATTGAAGCTTCGACAAGCAGCCAGCGGTCAGCGCTCATCACCACCGTCCAAGAGCCGTCCATTTCACGCGAGGAGATCCTGACTGCCATTGCAGAAGGAATTCAAAGTGGTAACTCGATCACCCGGGAGATTGAGCTGAATCAGGACGACCTAATGGAGGCAATCACCTCCGGTCTCAATGAGGCCATCAGTACCGCGAATACGAATGTTGGCGGGGAGATGACGGAACGCCTCCAGACTTTATTCGAAGGCATGAAAGAGGAATTCAAGCAGTACTCTGCCGCCGGTGGAAGAGACACCGAGCAAGTCCTCGACGCAATTAAGGATGGCCTTGATATCGTTCGCAAGGAGATTGAAACTTATGTGATTACCGCTGCCGATCTTTCCGGCAAGGACGAAGTAATTGACACGGTCAAAGAAGGCTTCCGACTCCTTCAAGCCGATATGGAGAAGACTATTACGGATACTTCTCTTTTGAATGCGTCACGAGGAATTCCTGATACACCTGAGCTTCTAGATGCCATGGAAAAAGAATTCGAGCATTTAAGGGGAACAATCACCACTCTTCTTCTCCGTAATAATGCCACCGAAGACAAAGATGAGATCTTGGATGCTATTCGAGAGGCTGCTGATCGCCACAAGAATGACTCAGGCGATGACGTTGTCAACACCATCAAGAATGAATTCGAGAGTCTTCGCGAGCGTATGGAGATGAGTGTGGTCCGTGCAGAGCCTGGTTCTGAGAAAGACGAAATCATTTCGGCACTTCGTGAGCATTTCGATATACTGCGTGAAGAGACCTCGCGTAGAGATAGTACCGAAAACGATGTTGTCAACACCATCAAGAATGAATTCGAGAGTCTTCGCGAGCGTATGGAGATGAGTGTGGTTCGTGCAGAGCCTGGTTCTGAGAAAGACGAAATCATTTCGGCACTCCGTGAGCATTTCGACATACTGCGTGAAGAGACCTCGCGTAGAGATGGTACCGAAAACGATGTTGTCAACACCGTCAAGAATGAATTCGAGAGTCTTCGCGAGCGTATGGAGATGAGTGTGGTTCGTGCCGAGCCTGGTGCTGAGAAAGACGAAATCATTTCCGTACTCCGTGAGCATTTCGACATACTGCGTGAAGAAACCTCGCGTAGAGATGGTAACGAAAGCACGTTGTCTGCGACAAATGAGCTCCTCGATGCATTCACAAATGGTGTTGACTCGATCCGTGAGGACCTGAAGAAATTACTGGAGAAGCCAACTGAGTTCGACAGCTCCGAGATTCTGGACACCATCAAAGATGGTCTTGTGGACTTGAAGCTTGAAATGGATTCCCTCCGCGAATCTAGCAAAGAACTGGATGACGCCAGTACAGCCCGCGGCGGTGAACTCATGCTGGCAAACGAGCCTAGCATCGGACCTGACATTGACGGTCTGAAAGTGCTCATAACTCAGCTTCATGACAAGGTCGAGGCCATTGAAACTACCCCTCGTGTTGCAGAGCCTGACGAGGATTCCCTCAAGCGCTCACACCTTGATGAAGTCCTTCTTGCACTTCACGAAGTCCAGCTCGCCATGGGTGAGATGAGTGCTCAACAAAGTGCCGAGAACGACAGCCCCGCTCGAAAGGAAGACACTGAGATTCTCGAGCAGCTACTCTTGAGTACTAAGACCCAGATCGATGAGCTTGTCTTCCCTTCCCCGGACCAGGTTGCCACTCCTGAGCATATTGGCGCCCTAGAGACCATGATCCGAGAGGCCAAGGATTCGATTGCCGAGTTTTCTAGTCGTGTTGAAGCCGAGGCTCCCACAAAGTCGGAGATTGGCACTTTGGAGGGTCTCATCAGAGATGTCTGGGTTGTCCTAGATGAGATGAAGAGCAAAACCAAGGACGGCGAGGAAGAAGAAGATTCAGAGAAAATACTCAAATCCGATCTGCAAACGGTCGAAGCCATGATCTTCGAGGTCAAGACTCAAGTCGACGAGCTTAAACTTCCTGATGTGGACACTCTCCCCACCAAGACGGAGATCCAGGAGCTATCGACACTTGTCTGCGATTTCCGAGAGCAGATGGAGAGCAATAACGAATTGACCGCCAAAGGTTTCGATGCCCGCAAGGTCGAGCACGGCGGTCTTGCTGAGAAAATCGACGAAGCCAAGTTTGTAGTCGGCGAGCTTGGGGACGAACTCAAGAGCAAGCTAGACGGCAGCACCGAAGGCCTGGCCGAGCTTAAACAGCTCCTTGAAGGACTAGCAATCACCGCAGAGAGCTTCACCACAGTCGACAATATCAAGGAGCTCACCGATCTTATCAACCGAGAGTTTGAACGTTCTAGGGGCGAGGAAGATGCAGTCAAGGTCGAAAAGGAGGAGCGTGATGCCGCTACAATGGTCAAACACGATGAGACGCGGGCCGCCATTATTGTCGAGCTTGGGACGAAGATTGACGAAAAAATTTCAGAAGTCCTGGCTAAGTATGAAGATGCGCACACGTCCCTCCACTCGAAATTCTCAGAAACCGAAGAGAGAGATCTGGCACACACCGAATCTTTGACAAGTACAAGAAGCCTTGCTGAGGACATCAAGCTTGTCATCGGTGCTATGGGTGATAGTGTTAATGAGACCTGTGAGCGTCTAAGTGTGGACACGAAGACTCTCATGGAACAAGTCGATCAGTCCCGCCAGAAAATGGAGAACTTGCACAACGATGTGAGATCGCACCAGGAGCAATCTCAAGCCGAAAACGAAAGGGCCGCGGCTGCCACTGATAGAGTGGAGAGCAAGCTCCTTGAATTCCACCCTCGTATTCTGGAATCTGTACAGGAGATATTGACAATCGTCAGCCAGCACTACGATCACTCCCAGAAGTCAGCTGAGGACTTCAAGTCGGAACTGTCGGCATTGCCTTCGAATATCCCAGCAATGCTACCTGCGCTGCCTCCCCCTGAAGCAGACCGTACACTCGCCATAGAGGATACTCCGCTACACAGCAAGATCGACGATCTTTTGGAACATGTCAAGAATAACAAGGTCCACGAGGTTTTGAGCACTCTCCTTGATCACTCAAAGAATGATCAACTACACGAGAAGCTTGATCGTGCTCTAGACCAAGGTTCAGGCTCGAACGATCAAATATATGAGAAGCTCAATGAACTTCTTGATCGCGCGACCAACGGGAGTGGTCCTGTTCATGAGAAACTGGACGCATTGCTCAGCCGTCCTATAAATCCGCCGGAGTCCGATCATTCTGTCACCCAGATGGCAAAGCTGGATGAGATGCACAGGGATATCATGGAAAACTCCCGGAGAATGAATGAGATGTTCGCTGCCCAGTCAGTGCTTGTCGCCGAGGATACGGAGCGAAAGCGACGCGAAGCTGAGGAGGCTGCGGTCGCCCTTGAACGAAGAGTTTCACAGCGTGAGCAAGTGGAAGCGGAGCTTGTTGGTCTGCATGAAGAAAAGGATTCTATGCTGAATATGATTCATCGTCTAAGAGCAGAAAAGGAGGACATGATCAAGCAAAACAACAAGCTCAGCAAGGATCTGTCCGGCCTTGAAACGGCCCTAGAGATACGTCACGAAGAGATGCGACAGATGGAGGACCGTGCTGATGGCCTCGAGAAACGCATTCTGGAGGGTGTGCTCGACCATGCTCGTACCGTCCTCCTCGGGCGATCCAACAGCTCGCAGGCCATGAACCTGAAGAGGAACCGCAGCACTCGGAGCACCCGTTCCTCGCGCACAGGCGCCCGCAGTCCCAGTGTAGCAAGCACTGCCAGCACTGCAAAAGAACCCAAGGACAGTCGCACTCTGCTTGGCAACGGTGTCGGGATGGCTTTGAAAAGAATGCCGACCTCACTCCATGCTGGCACAGTCGCTGTGCTACCCAACATCGGAAAGGAACGTCGGATTCTTAGCTTAAGTCACGTCACAGGCAACCGCGGTGTGGACCGACAGGTGAGCGCTAAATCTGGCATCACCAACTTGAAGCGCAGCCACTCCGTCAAATCGAACTCTCTTCGCAAGACTTCTTGGGCTGGCCCAACTTCTGTTGCCGACAAAGAGAACGAGCCATTCCACGAAGAGGACGAACTTGCAAGCGGAGCGGAAGATGGTGGTCAGCAGCGCAAGACTAGTTATGCGGAGAGTAACACACATACCGACCGTCGAACGAGCTATGCAGCAAGCAATGCAGGCACGGAGCGCAAGACAAGCTACTCTGGCAGCATCGTTGACAGTGTAGTTACAGATGCCACGGATCAGCGTCGTGTTAGCGGAGTGAGCTGCACAAACTCGTACAGTGTGGCGGAGAGCTCAATCGCTGAGCACGACCACGAGGACCATCATGATGATATTTCTATCGATGACTCAGAGTCAGAAGACGACGCGCAGACAGCACGGGATGATGGAGAGCATTCTGAGCACCAGGACGAGGATGAGGGTCATGAAGTGTCCCGCCAGATTAGGGAGGCCAACGAAGCCGCAGAAGCCGAAGTCCTTAAGCTGCTGGCTCCCTCTAGCGACAGTGGAGTTGGCACTGATGTTGCAGTTTGATTGAAATGTTTTGTTTTTGATGGAGTTGGGTGCTTTGCACCATTTGAGGTTTTCTTTCTTTTTCATATACCACTTTTGTTTTGCTTCTGTGATTGGATGACTTGGATGACTTTCGTTTGTGACCATAAATGTGTTTTTCTTAATGATGATTATCTTTTTTACTCTCCCAAGACACTCCCATGTGACATAGTTAGATTGTACAGGTCCATGTGCCCATAGTCACCCGGTTGTTCATGGGGTTATCCTTTTTGCATCACAAGTCAAATTCTTGTATTCTTAGCTGCTTGGAATGTTTCTTTTTGTGATGACTAGTCCTTGTAAACCTTATATTTCTTTTTCCACTACATATGTACCTGTTTAGAGCCCCAAGAAGTCCACAAGCCTGACCCGACGAACAAGGCAGGTGATCATGTGACTCCCAACAAATTATTGCTGCCTGAGGCTATGCCGAGGCCAGCTTCACCTGCCCATCCTCTACTCCATTTTCGCATGGAGCTACATATTTCCCCCATATTTCTTGTTCTTGGGCTTTCCTTTGTTTCCTTTTCCTTTGCCCTTTTCCTTTCTCTATGATAGACAGGATAGGGTGCCCTCTCAACTGCATATAGATCTACATTCCGACCTCCGAACCTCAAAAAGCATTCCCCCACATCGGGTGATCATAGCTAGTTGAGGGGAACTCCCACGATGTTGGACCCCTTCCCACCGCCTCCAGAATGGCTGCGGAGGTTCACGGAGCCCTATGCCATCCAGCTCAGCAGCCCGACGCTTGCCGACCATATCCACGAGGTTATCGCAGCGTTCGCCTTCTACCTGTTCATCCATGCAGTTCTCTCGCCTTGGCTCTCGCCAATCCTCTTTGCTCAGTCTTACAACAAGCTCACTCCCCGAACGAAGCTGAACTGGGATATCCATGTTGTCTCTTTTGTTCAGAGCGTTGTCATCAATGCTGCCGCCCTCTGGGTCATGTATTCCGACGAGGAGCGTAGCTCCATGACATCCGGTGAGCGAGTCTTCGGATATACAGGTGCCTGTGGTCTCATTCAAGCTTTGGCCGTGGGATACTTTGTATATGATCTGATTGTCAGCATTGTGCACGTGCGCATGTTTGGCATCGGCATGCTTTTCCATGCTATCAGCGCCTTGTGGGTGTTTAGTCTAGGCTTTGTAAGTTGCCTCTCCGATCTACCTGATATAGATACATTCAGTACCAAGAAGATCAATCCCCCATTTATCCTTTTTTTTTTCACATTCATTTTTCTCAAAAATTCGAGACATATCTGACATAGTTTCCGCAGAGACCATTCCTAAACTACTTTGCCCCGACCTTCATCCTCTATGAGCTTTCCAGCCCATTCCTCAATATCCACTGGTTCCTGGACAAAGTCAACATGACCGGCAGCCGCGCCCAGTGGTATAATGGCATGGCCTTGCTCTTCAGTTTCTTCGCCTGCCGCCTCGTCTGGGGCACCTGGCAAACCGTCGTGGTGTACGGGGACATGTGGAATGCACTTCAGCAAACTTGGTCGGCAGCCGCAGCCCCGCTCTCCGAGGCCATGAGCGTCAATGCAAATGTCTTCCACCCAACCCGCGACGGTAGCTTGTGTGTCAACCAAGCCTGTGTGCGCGCCAATGCCGAGATCACCAAGTTCAAGGAGTACACCGCGGGAGGTGTACCGACGTGGCTGGTCGTGACCTACGTCGGATCGAACTTGATCTTGAACTTCTTGAACTTTTTCTGGTTCTCTAAGATGGTTGAGACTGTTCTCAAGCGTTTCCGCACTCCGGCTGAGTCTGTTGCTGTTGCTGAGAAGAAGGGGAAGAAGGAGCCCGTTAGTGCAGAGAAGGCTGCGCAGCTCAAGGAGGATATTGTCCATGATGTCGTCCTCGAGGCGGCTTCCAAGTTGGAGCAGGAGGAGACCGCCGTCTTACAGGGTGATCTTTCCTCGTTGCGGGAACATGTCTCCTCCGCTGTGGACTCGGGTCTTGGCGAGGAGTTGCGGAAACGGACAACAGAGCTTGCCTCTAAGATTCCTTTGCCTGGTGCTTGAGGTTTGAATAGGGGTTTAGATGATTATTATAATCTATGTATCCTTGAGGGCTGTTATGTTTCTCCTCTCTTTTGTCCATTTTTGAACGTTATGATTGGTTGAGATGTTTGTGAATCCTCTCTGTTGCTTTCCCTTGAACCTCTGTGGGGATTAGTTTCCATGCACATTGTTTTGATTGACCTGTTGGACCTACCTCTTCTATACAAGGCAAAGATACAATGCCTGGTGTGATGGCTTCGTTATTCACAATAATTAAAACAAATCCGGAATCATATTGCATCGTATCAGATTCTTAAAAACACGGATTTCAAAACAATTCAATCCTGCCTGTCACACCGCTACACCAGTCCTAACACCACACAAGCGCCCTATATCAGATAGAAAGAAAAAAAAAATACATCAACACAACTCCCTTGCATAATGGTTGGCAGTGTAGAGAAGTGAGTTAAAACAAAAAAACAAACTGGAAAATCTACCGAGCAGCCGCAGCTTCGGGTTTAGCCAGCATGTATCGCACAGCTTCCTTGGCAACCTCAGAGTCCCAGGGGCCATCAACGCCGCCATAACGGAACTCAGGTCCGCTACCATCCTCACCGCCTCCACGGGTAGCTTCGCCCATAATAGTCTCGAGGTCACGGCGCTGAGAGCTGATCCAGCGACGGACAAAGTTGGCTGGGTCCTTGCTCAGAGCAGTGTAGAAAGAGTGGCGGGCACGGGAGTGCGTAAGGGCCTGGACAATTAAAGCAACTTGGTCATCAAGCGAGGAAATCTGGCGTAGGCCACTTGTGTACGCCGGGTTCTGAGTGAGAGCCATCATCTTGGTGCGCAGCGGGTCTTCAACTGCGACCTGGATATCGTAGATAGTCGGTGTTGGGTCGCCGTGGAACTCTTCGTCAACGCGGATGGTGTATGGAAGCTTAATCGGTTCCATTGGGCTGGTGTGAGGTCCGACACTTTCAGGGATCTGGGGGAAGAACATTTGCTCCCGGCCAAAGATCTACAGAACATGTTAGTGGAGTTTAGAAAGACCAAAGATTCAAAGCACATACCGAGCGTAAACGGTGGTCACAGCGCACTTGTCGCTTCTCCTCGTCTTCCTGCAATTCCATAGCGCGAATGTAATCCCAGATACCGAGAACAATTCCACTCCGGGTCTCCTCTTCGACATCCAGAACCTCGGCCAGCTCCTTGCTCAACTTGTATCGCTCGGGGATTTCGTCCCGGACAAGGCTGATGGTGACATTCAGATTGTCCTGCGAGGCTCGGGAGAACTGCAGACTATCAAATTCGGCACTCGGGGGCGCTGGTGTGTTGGAGTGTGTGTTCGGTTTAGACCAGTTAACCGGCTTGACCTCGTCGGGGATTGCCGAGACGGGCTTGTCAAAGTCAATGGTGATAGCCTTGAAGAAATGCGAGAAGCGCTGGGACTGGCTCTTGGACTCGGATTTCTTTGCCTTATCCTCCTCAGCTCCATCGTGGTCCATTGCATCTTCATCTTTCTCGTCCTCATCGGGAACAGTAGGGTCGGTTTCATCGTCTAGCAGCCGTCCTTCGATGCGCACTTTGTAGCGACCGGAGCCTGGGTTGTTGCCCGGGCCTTGCCATGGCTGGTTTTCAACAGTATTAGAGATCCAGATGCGCATAGTCCGGTACTTTTTGACGGTCTTGTTGATGGAGTCTTGGATATCCAGTCTCTTCCGCACAACAGCGGCATCCAATCGCTTTTCCAAGTCGCGGAGGTTTTTATATTGCTGAACACCCTCGCCGATGATCACGTCTTCAATGCCGTCGGGGAGGTTCCTGTCGGTCGGCTTGCGGCTGCGCCGAAGGGCAGCATCATTGGGGTGGGGCATGGGGCGTGAGGCCATGTACTGTTGGGCAACAGCGTGCTGTGGCATTGGAACAGGCATTGCGCCACCTATAGAGATGTAAGATTAGAGCCGAGACGAATGGGTGGAGACCGATGAAAGGGGACATACCTGGCCCTGGGGGACGACGGGGTGCGGCTGGAGATCGCTGTGCATTTGGGGGCATGGCCCGAGCATAATGCTGCTGCATTGGAGCTTGCATTGCGGAGAAATTAAGCACCGAAACGGTGATGGGAGGATGACAGATGGGCGGGAAAGATGCGAAATGTTGGAGATGCGAGGTCGCGATTCTTTTGCCCGTCGCGCTTTACCCTTTTCGGACGATCGCGAACAACAGACAAAACTCCTACTTCGATTTTGTAGTTGCCATTCTCACGAATAGCTAAAAGCTAAATATTAAGATGTAACCTACATGTTTAATACTGATTACTCGTAGATCTAATGGGTATTAAGTGTGATCATGCATTGTCTCGATTATTTCCTATCAAGTCGTCGTCTCAACTGCATTGGACATATGCCATCTTTTCTATTCCAGAAGAGATGCCTGGTTAGTATACAGACCTTCCACCACATTGCCAAGCTTTTCGATTGTCTCCAGAGCGGCATCGTAAGCCTGGTCCCGTTCTGTCTCATCGTACACAATTAGACACCCCGAGCCCTGGTCCAATACACCGATGATCACCTTGTCCAAGATCATTTGAGACAACTTCCTTTCCACCTGCTGTGTGTCCAAACCCACCATCTTCGCAATGTGATCCAGCTCGACCCGGCTGAAGGGCTCAATGACCTTGATCAAGTTCTGTTCCAGCATGGCATCGTAAAGACGACGGAGGTGGTTTCGGATGAATACATCGCTGCCCAGTTCGTATCTGTAGTCCGACAGGGCCTTCTCGTACTCCTCCAGAGACCGGTTGGCGTGGGCCCGTGCCACGGCCTTCATTGCCTCTAGGCGTGGACTGGCATACTTTTGCGCTTGTTTCGAGCCTTGCAACTGTGTAACATCATCCACCAGGTTCAGCATGATCTTGCACAGAAGCATGTACTGCAATGTCGCCGTAGCCAGATCGCTCTCATCGAGCGAGCTGTACCCTTCAAGTGCCTCAATGAAATAGGAGTATGCAGTGGTGAAGTCCTTGTCTTCGGCGTGTAGCATGCCGCTCTGCATATCAAGACCGGCCTGCAGGTTCGGCGGCGTGTAAACGGAGGCGGCTGACGTCCGTGCTGCCGTCAGAGCAGCGCGTGCCTTGGCCTGGTTGCCAAGAGCGTGGTAAACACGCGACTCAAGTAGTTGTACTTCCACTAGCATAAGCTTATCATCCAGGCGCTTCAGCTCACGGAGAAGAGAGTTGATAAGAGTGAGAGCATCATAATAGGATTGCTTCTGCATATAGATGGCAACGAGTCGGGCTTGGAGTGCCTGGCGAAGGAACGATCGGCGCTCGGCAATAGCCCATTCTATGCATGATTGGATGACGTTGCCTTGGAGTTCGAGTGTGTTGGGGATTTCGCTAATCAGGTCCAGAAGTTGACGGACTAAACAATCAAAGTTAGCCGGTTTCTATAAACGTAATTTAGCGCGCAACTTACCCAGCTTGGCCGTCTTCGCTTTGGCAAATGACGAGAAGGTGTCACGGCTGGTCTTGATGAGGTCCGCAATCTCCTGTGGCTTCTTCGCATCCCGGTGCAACTCGCCCAACCCAATCAAGGCAAGTTCATAGTCTCGTGAAGAGGCCTCTGTAGATCCGGGGCCCTCTGAGAGGATCTTCTGGTAACTGGTCGCTGCTTTCGAGGGATCCTCCTTCGCCAGATCTCGGACTTCTTGGATCCGTGGCGAGACCTTGGATGACATGATAAAAGACGGTAAATGGCGAGTGAGTGAGATGGAGAATTAAAGGAAAGGAGAACAACAGACGATGGTGGTTTGAAGAGAGGTTGATGACCAGGTCGAATGGGGAGCTCGAAGCTGGCGGCAGCTCACCGTCCTCTCACCGCCCGCTTGGCAAATCAAACAGAAAAAAAGTTCCATCTTGGCATTTTTCTTTTCCTTTTTACATCGTTTTCACGACAGCACAATGGTGAGTGTTTCTCCTTGAAATCTTTTTTTTTTTTTGATAGCCATGCTAATGAACTATAGAAAATCAAAGCACTTTCCCGCTCCACGGCATCGCAGCAGGCCCCCGGGTCCGCTGTCGTTCGCCAGTCGCGGAATCTCGACCCAACTCAGCATCCTTTTGAGCGGGCTCGTGAATACACTCGAGCTCTGAATGCGATCAAGATGGAGCGCATGTTCGCTGCTCCCTTCCTAGCTCAAATGGGTAATGGACATGTTGACGGTGTTTACTCTATGGCAAAAGATCCCGGCTCGCTTGAACGTTTTGCAAGTGGCAGTGGTGATGGTGTGGTGAAGGTGTGGGATCTGACAACGCAGGGCGAGGTTTGGAATACCCAAGGCCATGAGAATATGGTCAAGGGACTGTGCTGGACGCCGGAGCGAAAGCTTCTGTCATGCGCGAGTGACAAGACCATTAAATTGTGGGATCCTTACAACTCATCATCTGAGGCCCCACCGATGGCAACCTACCTCGGAAATAGTGCCTTCACCAGTGTTACGCATCACCGAACCCTCCCTTCTTTTGCTGCCGCTTCTGGTGTCATTTCTATCTACGACCTTTCCCGGCCGTCCTCCACACCATCGCAAACTCTGCACTGGCCGACCAGCGTTGACACCATCACATCTGTTGCGTTCAACCAGACTGAGACTTCTATCCTGGCTTCGACCGCCATGGATCGCTCAGTCATCATGTACGACCTGCGTACTTCCCAGCCGGTCCACAAGACGACATTGAGACTAGCATCTAACGCCATTTCGTGGAACCCCATGGAAGCTTTCAACTTTGCCGTGGCAAACGAGGATCACAACGCGTACATCTTCGATATGAGAAAGATGGACCGTGCTCTCAATGTCCTGAAGGACCATGTGGCTGCTGTTATGGATGTTGATTTCAGCCCCACGGGTGAAGAGCTGGTCACTGCCTCATACGATCGGACAATCCGCCTATGGAACCGATCAACTGGTCACTCGCGTGACATCTACCACACAAAGCGGATGCAACGTGTCTTCTCGGCAACATTCACACCTGACAACAAGTATGTTTTGACAGGATCGGACGACGGCAATGTTCGTCTCTGGCGTGCCAACGCATCAGACCGCAGTGGAGTTAAGACTGCCCGTCAACGTTCTAAGCTGGAGTACGATCAAGCTTTGATCAAGCGGTACTCACACATGCCCCAAATTCGCCGCATCAAGCGCCAGCGTCATGTGCCCAAGCCTATCAAGAAGGCTGGAGAAATCAAGCGCGAGGAGCTCAATGCTATTAAGAGGCGTGAGGAGAATGTGCGCAAGCATACTAAGAAGAGCAACCTGGCACCGAGAACCCATGAGCGTGAGAAGATGATTCTGGCCAACGAGCAATAATCAGTCCGCCTGAATTATCACTTTCCATCGATCAGGCTCGGCCGCAGGACTCGCAATCGAAAGTATGGTCGAATGGGGAATATGTTCAATGAAGCAAATCGCTCTGCTTTATAATACATCTTGGTTGGACTCATACAAGGGTCCATTTTCATGATTCATGCCAATACACACCGCTCAGCTCCATTCGAGCCACCCATCAATCTGTCTTCCCAGATGCCTGTCGGCTTTGAGTCACGGCACCATCTATTCCACTCAGATATCTCGCAACCCGCTGCACCGTAGCGGGTAGCACGGCATACCAATTCACGAGCTTTGCATAAATAGGCAATCTGATCACACCACCTCGACCGCTATCAATCGCTGCTACCATATCCCGGGCAACTTCGACCGGTTCCAAGACTGGCGCAAAGAAATGGTTCGGTGCGCGCACCCAGTCGAACAACGGCGTCGACATCTGCCCAACTTCCACCAGCAATGTTTTGATCAACGGGGTTCCCCGAATCTCCGCTTCTATTGTCCGATGCAGCGCGCTAAGTCCGGCTTTGCTTGCTGCATAGTCTGACAGTCCCGCAGCACTCAGCTGGCCCAGCACCGAGCTGACTGTGACAAGGGTTCCTCCATTCTCCGCTGCGATGATCCCAGGCAAGAAGACTTGGTACAGATGGAAAGCCGCCAGCACGTTAGTGCGGATGGTCTTTTCAAATGCGTCCGCTGGCAGATCAAGCAGCGAGAGGCCGTTGATCCTGGCCGCGGCACAGTTGATAACGATCGTCGGTGTTCCTAGCTGCAAAATAGTTAGCGAATCAGACCCCAATTGAAGCAAGACATAGCGCGCTATTAAAAAAAACAAGGACAACTTTTCCAACCATTTAAATCACCAGAACCGTAGTAATAGTAGAATGATATGGCATCAAAAGTCATGCAACGAAATCAAAAGCGAAAAAAAAAAAAGCAAAACCTACCTCTTGCAAAATCCTCTCCCTCGCAAGCTCCAACGCACCTCTGTCCGCGACGTCACACGTAATATACAAAACGCCTTCTCCGAAGACCTCATCACGACTATTTTCCGGAACAACCTTGATATCAAGCACAGCGACACTCGCCCCGCGCATGCTATACATCTGCGCAATCAACAGACCTAGCCCACTTGCCCCGCCGGTGATGACCACGACTTCATGCTCGAAATCGACTGTGCGTGGGGCGCCGTGGGCGGCGCGCTGGTTGATAATCCGCGCGATGAAGAGGACTGTCAGGGCCGTTGCATAGCTCACGGCGACAATCCAGGCCGGGTCTGTTGACGGTGTTACCTGTGCGCGCAGGCAGAGAACGAAGATCCAGGCTATGAAGGGGTTGAGGAGGGATTTGGAGAGGATGCTTATTAGTGTGTCGATTGTCAGGAGGTTTGTGTGTGGATTGGTTGGGCCAGGGGTTGAGTGGGGTGTTTTGGCTGTTGTTTTTAGGAACTGGGGAGTTGGAGAAGACATTGCAATGTCTTCTTTGGGTTTAATTCTGACGCCTGGAGATTGGAGGTCAAAGATGGTGTAGTGAGATCGACGGGAGATTCGAGACGCGCTCGGTTTTGCGGGGCTGATAAGGCGATCTATAGAATGGCCCCGGGGGCACCTGGACAGCTCACCACAGCAACTTTGACTGTTGTTTTACAATATCTTCGATATTTCCCTGCCATTTACATCAATTTTTGATATCTGTCTTGTAGAAGAGAAGAAAAAGCAAACTTTCGAGGTATCGACAGCCTTAAAGCTGTGGTGCCTCACTTTACCCAACTATGCTTTCGAACTGGATCTAGTTTTGTACATCTTGCTGTGTGAAACGGTCCCAAAAATTGAGTTGGAGATGAAAACAGAGCTTCGGAAGGTCCATGTGGGTAACCCCAGGAATGACAGTCAGTGTCCGCAGAGGTGAGTAGGAGTGCCCGAGCCCTGTTACCTCTACCGACGTGCTTCGTACCACAGCCTACCCTGAGACCCCAGAGACTAACGGGTCAAAGAATTGGAGGTACTCAACAGGAATCATGTGCAACGTGGACCTGGAGTAGGATTGGAGAAAGAATCTAGAAGAGAGAGAAATGGGAGGGGGAGAGGATATTTGTACCTTCCCAGTGGCTGAAGACAAACGGGGAACTGGAGTGACGAGTCTGACCCAAAAGGGAAGGCACCTGATTTGGAAGCAGGCCCATGACCAGTCTACTAGGTCAACCTTGGAAGACAAGGTAAGATAACTCTTAACATGAAAGAGACGAGAGAAGATCAGAATAGAGGGGGGGAAAAAGAAAAGAAAAGAAAAGAAGAAAAAGAAGAAAAAAAGATACTGATCGACTGATTGAGTTATCGTCAAGTATCTATATCATTTGCATGCGAAAATATGACGAAACAAGACCACACCATGAAACAAATAAACCCAGAAATTCATGAAAACCCATTTAATCATCTCAGGCATCCTTCCTTCCCCTTAGCTTGAGAGGAAGTGAACAAAAATCAGCGTAAATCCACACGAAAAACTCCCCATGGCTGTCTCAGCCAGTGCATCCCCCCATATTCCAACAAGAACAAGATTGCAGATCAATCACTCCTGCTTGCGCTGACCCAGTGGCGAATAAGGCTTCTTATTCCGAGCCTCCTTAGCTGACCCTCGGATGGAATGACTAAAGGTAAGGCAATTCTTGTCCTCAGCCATGATGTTGAGATCACTTGGGGTCGACGGCACGTGGAAACCCTGACCAGCTTCGGGGTAAGCGCGGTAATCTTCAGGGTCATAATCTGATTCATGCTGGGATCCAACGTGTGAAGACCGAGACACAGATAGAGTGGGAGATTGCAGTCGTGATTGGGAGTATGATGATTCGTTGTCGGTGGTCAGGTCTGAGTTCGAGGAGTCGAAAGAGGCCTTGCGAGTACGTGTAGCTGCAGGCGCACCTTGAGATGTAAATCTCCGCGTAGGTCTAAAAGAATGATGTGGAGTTGTCGCGGTAGAAGGCTGGGGAGCAGCTGTGGAAGCATGCGCGTGAGAAATTCCGGCGAAAATTTGGTCCGCGGTGATGCTACCAAGAGCCGCTGGAGGAGCAGGGTTCGGGGCAGCATCGGAAACGACTTCACCAAAGAGTTTATCGGTATCCAGGGCAGTAGCTTCAAGGGCCGCGGTATCAGGAGCCTTGCTCATCCGTTGACTTGAATCCATGGCGTTAGGGTTCTCAGACGGGGGTTTCAAATCTTCACAATCGAGTAATGCAGAACGAGGGGGTTTCTTTGGCATATGGTTGGAAGCCGTATGGCTGTGTGGCATTGCAAAGGGTGTGAGAGTGAAATCAGTCACGGGTTGCATGTTGGCGGGAAACATAGGAACCGACGGCCACTCGTTTGAGACTTTAACTACAAGCTGAACTAGGGAATCATGAGAGAGAGATGACAGATATGCCCGTCGTTCTTCTTCTGAATAATGATTGCCACCAATTTGAGATTCAGACACAGGCTGCTTCTTCGGGAGTCCAACTTTTTTGACTTTCGTTACAGCCTTCTTTTGAGATTTGGTCTGGGTCGTCTGACGTTGCTCAGGTTTACACTTGATGCAAAACCAATTCATCTCCGGGATTTCGATAACCTCATTACCGATATTTGGCTTGTGACATTTCTGATGCCACGGAGCATCACATGAGTCACATAGAACAATCAAATTGTTCGACGGGCTGTGTCCTCGGTAACACTCGGTGCAAATTATATTCACCTGGCGGTTCAAACGCTTCCGCTTTTTTGCTACCGCTTTGATAGGCGGCCCTTTTGTTGCCACAGGCTCAACTTCTTGAGCAGCTGGTTGGGTGATACGACGGCCAGATCGAGTTCGATTTGAAGCCAGGGCAGTGCTGGCATTTTGATGAACTGTTTCCGTAGCCCCGGCTATTGCCCATACTGCCTCTTCCTGAGGCAGTGCTGGTGATCCCCAATTTTCCCAGGGTATATTGTCATCCACAAGCTCCAGATGGGATGACAATGGTGGAATCCCCTCGGAGACACCCTCATGGTCAAATATGTTGCCCTCATGAACATTCTGGGGGCGCCCCGGGTTCATATCGGGGGCGGGGAGGTCCATGAATGCCGCTGAGACCCTCATGTTGAATTTGCTTGTGAGTAGGTGTTTTCAAAAGGAGGCCTGGGAAAGATTCTTCTGGAAAACTAGTTCGGCTTTGATGTCAAAGAAGAGAACAAAGCAACAGGTGATAGCGAGGGGGAAAAAAAAAGGCACCAATTGTGTTCTTCTAGGGCAGTGCGAGTCTTCCAGCCCGGTGCAAATCACAATAGACACTAGGCTTGTTGCTGATCGGCCAGTCAAACATAGTTGGCTCCTCTCAATTCTTCAACTGAAGGTAGGGTTGGAGTGAAGTCGTCGGATGAAAGACCTTTGTATATATGAGTCACGTGATATCCCAATGCAACCTTAAATGGCTTTCTTCAGCCGTTGACTGACGTATTTCGCCTAATTGGAGGGTTTTCATAGTATGAATGGTACCTTTAATGGTTTTATCCATTATAAAATCTGTTACACAATTATCTTGTCCTCGATTAGATCACCTCATAGTACCGCCTCGGCAATAGACCTAAATGTGGGTAAGATACAACATATTCTATGAAAACTACAGCACTCTAATTGTCTATCCCTAGAGAAATGCGTGGATTTATTCCAAGCATTTCACGAACATATGTCACTGAGAGTTATGTGTACGAATCCGGTGGAAGTGCATATTAGATCTGAATACGTATCTAAATCGGCTCGAGCTATTATATACAAGATTATTGGTGTAAAGAGAAGATGAGAATGGTTGATCTTGTACGAAGTAGTAATCACCATTTCACCATCTCTATATATATTGTGGGCTGAAAGGATCCTTCAGGACAGAGAGCTTATGGAGTGTAAGAAAGATGCCCGAAAAGGACCAAAAGATGCCATGAGAACCGAGGGACCACTTTAATTGGCTGTGGGTTATAGTTTGTTTATATACAGATCTCGGGAGGTGTCTTTCGTGTTTCTCGTAAATAACTCAAGGCTCAGGACACGACTCCCTCATCCTTCAAGCGAGCGATATCCGCTTCCCCATAATCGAGAACACTGCCCAAGATCTCATCCGTATGCTGGCCCAAAGTAGGAGGAGGCGTGCGCACACCCGGTGTCGCTTCGGAGTACTTGATAGGCGTGTTGACCATCTTGATTGGACCACATGCAGGGTGGTCAACTTCTGTCACCATGCCTCGTGCCAGAACTGTTGGTAGGGTCAGCACCGTTCTTTTATCACATATAAAGAAGATAGGTAAATAGGTATACTTACCATGCTTGTGATTCAGGGTTCCCTGAATGTCGTTGACAGCCGCATAGGGCATACCGCTGCCCTCGAAGACATCCAGCCACTCTTGCGTGGTCTTTTGAATAGTGGTGCTTTCAATCATACCGTCGATCTCTGCCCGGTGCTGCACTCGGTCAGTGTTAGTGACGAAGCGAGCGTCCGTCTTCCACTCAGAGAAGCCCAGTCGATCACACAACACTCCAAAAAGCTTATCATTGCCACCGCCAAAGAGAATATCTCCGTCGCTGGTTTTGTAGCTCCGATAGGGTACAATAGATGCTGGGAGGTGTCAGTTTGGTTATTACTCGACGCAAGAGACTGTTTGCTGCTTACGGTGTGCTGTACCCCAACGGCCTGAATCCTTTTGTCCACTGATAAGCGCAGAGCTAGCCAGGTTCGATAACGTAGCCACCTGGCAATCACTCAAGCAAGCATCGATATGCTGACCTCTACCAGTTCGACCCCGAGCAATCAAAGCCGCCATGATGGCATTTGATGTGTACAGTCCGGTGGTTAGATCGGTAACGGCAACACCAACCTTTACTGGCGCACCGTCCCGAGCACCGGTGATGTGCATTAATCCCATCTCGGCTTCCACCATGACGTCGTAGCCTGCCCGGTTGCTATATGGGCCTGTCTGGCCATACCCAGTGATACTGGCATAGATCAACTTGGGGTTGATTTCCTTCAGGGTTTCATAGTCCATGCCGTATTTTTTGAGTCCCCCCGGGAGATAGTTCTCGACTAGGACATCGCATTCCTTTGCAAGCTTGTGTAGAATCTCGACGCCTGACTTGTGTTGGAAGGATAGACCAAGGGATTTCTTATTTCGGTTAACCTACATCCATGATTAGTGCCATGATAATTTGTTTCATAACTTCAAGAGAAGGTTCGTACAGCTAGGTAGTAGGCGCTCTCGCCAGGGCCCTTTCTGGAAGCATCTTCGTACTTCGCATATGGTGGACCCCAAGCGCGAGTATCGTCGCCGCGCACAGGGTGTTCGACCTTGATAACGTCCGCTCTATAATTTGTTTTGTTAATATCACAGATATAAGCCGTTTAAGCTGTTTCATAGCTCCGAAGTTCAATATATACCCTAAATCACCCAGAATTTGAGTACAATAAGGCTAGAGCAAGTCAGCTTGGGTCGTAAACATACAGTAGCACCGCGAGAGAAATACTCACACCAGCCAAAACGCGTGTCATATCAAGCACCCGGATACCAGCCAAAGGTAGTGACCCATCGACTGAAGCTACGCTGGAGTAGCATCGTCCTGGTACCGTGCGTCGCAAGGCATTGCTACCCCAGGACAAGCCCGATCGACGGGCAACAACCTGGAACCTAAGCGCGACTGTCATGATTATATATACAGAAAGCGCAGCGAAACCAAAAAAGTGAAGCTCAAAACAAAAGCCCAAATAGTAAGAATATCCCCCATTAAATGGGATCTGGGGAAACCGGCGAATCTCCGCCAAAACGCCGACACCGACACCGCTCGGAGGGGCCAATGCCGAGGCCACACCGCGGGGGTATTTTCCTTGTAGATCATCAACCGCAGCTATGTTTACAGGTCTTGTTGAGACGATTGGGAGTGAGTATATCTTTCTTTTGTGAATCAAGTCAATAGCTCATGTGGTTTTACTAGCTGTCACGGCCTTGGAGCCCATCGATACCTCATCGAGCGGGGGCGGGGGAACGTCGCTCACCATCTCCGACTGTGAGGAGATCCTCACCGACGCGCACTTGGGCGATAGTATCGCAGTGAATGGTATTTTGCTCTTTATTTGTCTATAACACAAGGGGTATTGTCTAAAAGTGGGCTTAAGGAACATGTCTTACGGTCACTGCATTCGATAAGACCTGGTTCAAGGTTGGCTGTGCGCCGGAGACGCTGCGACGCACAAACCTGGGTTCCTTGCAGGCGAATTCACACGTGAACCTCGAGCGTGCCGTTTCGGCCGATACTCGGATGGGAGGACACTTCGTGCAGGGCCATGTCGATACCGTTGCAGAGATTTTGTCTGTCACGCCGGATGGAAACTCGTTGGTGTTCCGGCTGCAGCCGCGGGATAGAGATATTCTGCGTTATGTTGTGGAAAAGGGCTACGTGACCCTTGATGGTGCTAGCTTGACTGTTACCAAGGTTGTCGATGGACAGGACGGATACTGGGAGGTTATGCTTATTGCCTACACGCAGGGGAAGGTGGTCACTGCGGCCAAAAAGCCGGGTGACCTTGTCAACGTTGAGATCGATATCGTGGGCAAGTATGTTGAGAAGAGCGTACAGGGATACTTTGCTGGTACCTCCGGCGGAGATTTCGCTATCTTGGAGAAGATGGTGAACAGGATCGTCGATGAAAGGCTCAAGAAATAGATCAGAGTTATGAATAACGAATCTCTACCACTCCGAGTCATTGCAATATTCGGTGAAGGCAAGGCAAAATGTATCATCCTTAGCTTTCTATGTTATAAAATGAACTGACCGGAACAATTGGGGGCTGAATTTCCCCATTGATTACAGGGAATAAAAGACATAGAGCCAGAAGTTAGATTTATTCAAAAGCAGAAGGCCAGAGCAAGCAATGAGATACAAATAAGTTCCCGTCAAGCGATGAGAAATCCTTCTGTTGTCGTAGAGTCTATGTCCCCAATATCGAATAGCCCTTTTCCACAACGTACACATGTAGTTTACATAGGGATGATCGCACTTGTAGTGAAACCTAAGTTCAATATAAGATGACAGACAAAGTTGATTTGCAAGACTGCATTATATGAAGACAAAACCTGAAGAACGCCTAGATGCCTATCGGGTATGTGACAGTGACAGAAATTTTGGTCCATATGACATGGATATAAGACATGAAGACGGGGGTCATTTTTGATACAGTCCACCGGTGTGATGACTTCGGACAGTCACTTACTCCTCCATAGACTCGTCCGAATCGGCGTCAGAATCGTCATCTGCCGCTTCACCCTCACCCTCAGCGTCCTTGTCAAAGTCATCATCGCTGAGCCAATCTTCATCATCCATATCAACATCCTCATCCTCATCCTCCTCGGCCACTTCTTTGTTACCTCTAGCCTTGGCCTTCTCTTGCTTCTTCCGCTCAATGTTCTCCTTCTGCAGCTTCTTTCTCTGCTCCTTCTCTTTCCTCCGAACGTCCCAGCTCTGGTCCATTTTCCGCATCTCCTTCTCAGATTTCTTAATGAAGTCGTGCCACATGATCTTGCCATCGCAGACTCCATCCTCAACCTTCATCAAGCGAAGCCGCAAGCGAGGACCAAGCTCTACGAGCTTCACGGCCCGCTTCTCAACACCAGGGGTATGGGTTGGCTTATCCTGGCCCTTTTCTGCGGCCTTTTGGCGCTGCATTTCCCGCTTGTTCAGGACTCGGCGGGTTGTGCTCTCTGCAACTTCCACTTCGGCATCGGTGTCTAGCTCGGTCTCACTAGCTGATGTGTAGCCTGCAGCAGAGGGGTCGAGCAGATAATCGGCGGCATCTTCTAGCTTTCCAAGGTTGGGAACGGCAGTCTTCTTCTTGTCCCGGTTCCGAATCTCTTTGGGATCCAGGCGACGGATTCGTTTCGATACACCAGTTTTCTTGGTGGCAATGGCATAGTGACGGAGAGTCAAGATATATGAGTCGCTGTCCTTTTCGGCAGGCTCCCGGTTGAGAAGCATGACACGGCGGATGGAAGATAGAGGCTGGCTTTGGGGGTTGATGGGAGGGAAAAGGGATTGGAAGATCGTAGTTGTGAGGGTCTCGAGACGCTTAGGCACTTTGGAATCCTCGGTTGCGCCTGGTGTGGTGAAGTTGTTCATGACCAAGAGGGGCGGTGTCTTGTGATCCTGTCCGCCACTTTTTGGGCGCTTCATGGATCTCTCGACATCCTTGCACAACGAATAGTTCTCGACTTTGAAGTGAAGGGTGGGTCCACGGGGGGTAACTGCGAGTCGCATATTTGTGTTGCCAGTTGCGGACTTAGAAAACAACATAAGATGAGTGACACCTAGGGGACCGGTCATAACGGTATAATCTCGCAGCCTGTTGGATTTGCGTTCCTATATTATTTATTAGAGGGAGCGAGCAGAGCGGTGAATGTGAATCATACCTTCAATCGCACAGCAGTATCAGGCTCCATCATGCGACGGACATCCTTAACCAACTGGGTCACACTGCTACCGACTTGAGAAGCGCCTACTCGAATGACCATAGACTTCGGGGTCTTGGACATTGAGGCAGCGCTGCCCTTCACAACGGAAGCATTTTGTGGCTTCTGGTGAGTGCGCTTCTTGACACGTTGCTTGGCCATTTTAATATGAGATATGAGAAAAATAAAATTGGAGGGGGAAAGCAATGAATACCAAATCGAACAGCTCGAGGTTTTTTTTTTTCTCCAAAAATTAACATCAGAAACAGCGCCGGATCAATAATCTTGCGGCCCCACATTAAATTATTTCTTTTGAGATAGTTGATCATCGACAACTTTGTTTTTGTTAAACACACATTAGACAATGCCGATTACCAAAAAGCGCAAGGTCGCACACGCGACCCCTGCTGCACCTGTTGAAGACAGCGACGCTGCATCAAATGCAAGCTCTTCTAGCCCTCAAGCTACTGCTGAGGACCCCGATGCCGAAGATAGCGCGAGCGATTCAAACCCCCAACCCACCGCTGATAACCGCAATGTCGAAGATGCTTCCTCCGAGACTGAGCCCAACGCTCCCAGCGTTCCCAAAACATTCAAAGAATTGGGCCTGATTGACTCACTTTGCGAGGCCTGTGACAAGATGGGATACAAGGCCCCTACACCAATCCAGTCCGAATCAATCCCGCTGGCACTTCAGGGTCGTGATATTATCGGGTTGGCTGAAACAGGATCTGGAAAAACCGCCTCCTTCGTTTTACCAATTCTTCAAGGTTTGTGCACTTATGACGACTTATACCATTATATACGATACTAACGAGTCTTCTAGCACTCATGGAAAAGCCCCAGCCGTTCTTTGGACTTGTAATGGCCCCAACCCGTGAACTGGCATACCAGATTTCATTGGCATGCGAATCCCTTGGTGCAACAATCAATGTCAGATCCACCACGTTGGTTGGCGGTATGGACATGGTTCCTCAGTCAATCGCTTTGGGAAAGAAACCTCACATCCTCGTTGCCACACCCGGCAGACTTCTCGACCACCTCGAGAACACAAAGGGCTTCTCCCTCCGCAACTTGAAATTCCTCGTCATGGACGAAGCAGACAGACTCCTCGATATGGATTTCGGTCCCATTCTCGACAAGATCCTGAAGGTCTTACCACGAGAGCGCAGAACCTTCTTATTCTCCGCCACCCTGAGCTCAAAGGTTGAGTCTCTCCAGCGAGCCTCACTGTCAAATCCGGCCCGTGTCTCGATCTCTTCCAGCAAGTATGCCACCGTGGAAACCCTCCAGCAAACCTATATTCTTCGTCCCTATAAACACAAGGACATCTACCTTGTCTACCTCCTCCACGAGTTCATTGGCCAGTCCGTTATTATCTTCATGCGCACCGTTCATGAAACGCAGCGTGTTGCTTTCTTGCTGCGCGGTCTAGGCTTCGGCGCAATCCCTCTCCATGGACAAATGTCTCAATCTGCTCGTCTGGGAGCACTAGGCAAATTCCGATCGAAAAGTCGTGAAATCCTGGTTGCCACCGATGTTGCTGCTCGTGGTTTGGATATCCCCTCTGTGGACTGCGTTTTGAACTTTGACTTGCCAACCGACAGTAAGACCTATATTCATCGAGTAGGCCGTACAGCACGTGCCGGAAAATCTGGAACGGCCATCTCCTTTGTTACGCAATATGATGTGGAAATCTGGCAGCGTATAGAGGCTGCGATGGGCAAAGAGTTGGCCGAGTACCCCGCCCCAAAAGATGAGGCCATGGTCTTTGCCGAGCAAGTGAGTGCTTCGCAACGTGATGCCATCCAGGCGATGAAGCACTACGACGAAAAGAAGGGGGCCAAAGGCAAAGGAAAGTTCTCGTTCAAGGGCAAGCGAAGTCGAGATGCCATGGACCAGGAAGAGGGCTAGAATCTCATGCTGGTTCATTCTCTCTTTTTTTTTGTACATGAATAGATGGTCTAGCTTACGAATTTGGGGCGTTTAAGTATGTAATATGAAAAGAACCCATAGCTTTCATTACTGCGTCAAAATGATATCGAATATTTCCTGGACCATATTTCCAGGGGTCCATAAGAGTTGAAAAAATACCCGCTGCCTAAAGCCACCAAGGCCAGTGTGATAATTGCAATACAGCCTAGAGAAACAGTGATCCCTACGGGCATTTGCCCAGGCCAAAGATCCAATTTGGACTAGGGAATCTATTAGGCGCTGCCTGCCTCGCTAACAGCGTTCGCGACGCGAGTGGCGAGGTCATCCGCCTCGGAGCGGCTGGCAGCCTCAGCGTACACGCGGACGGCATCCTCAGTACCACTGGCACGGGCGAAACTGCGGCCCTTGTTGTACCGAGACTGAAGAGACTCGATGGTGCCCTGCAGACCGGGAGGAGACTCGAGCTTACGCTCGGCGTCGTATGCCTTGAAAATGGAACGGTCATTGACCTCGACACGCACGAGGCGCGAAGGGAGGTCGGTGTAGGTTCCAAGCCACTCCTTGGGTGACCAGCCCTTGTGGGCGAGAATGGCCTCCACAAGAAGTGCATCGGACAGAGCATCACCCACAGCCTGGTTGATCAGGTCGGTGAGAGCCTGGAGGCTCTCCAGGGCGTGCTGCTGCGCCGGTGATTGAGGCTCGGTGTTCTTGATGACCTTCAGGGCGTTCTCGGAGAAGGTGACGGTACCGTGTCCGTTGGCCTCGAAGTAGACACCAACATCGAACCGCAGTGCAGCGTGGTGGAGGTGCTTCACACCGGTGTTGGTGCAGATAATGGGGAGCTTGAGGACCTTCTCAATGTAATCTGTGCTTGCACCGTTAGCATAGGCGGTCTGGACAACACCAATCTTCAGCTTCGAAGCAATTCCAGCGTTGCGGGCAAGATCGCCAATGAAAGACGCTGCAAGAGTGGCAATGCGGTCACCATCCAGAAGACGGAATACGTTGCTCTCGTCCTGGAAGTAGTAAACAAGACGGTCGGCATCACCATCAAGCGAAGCGCATCGGTCAAGCACGGCAGCTTTAGAAGAAGGAGGAGCACGTTGCTTGGTCTTAACATAGTCGGCACCGCACTGCATGAAATGTTAGGTTGATTAAAGGTTGTGTGTTGGGCAGGTGGAAGCATACATCAAAGTTCAAGGCGTCAGGGTTAATCACATCATCGTTGACAATCTTAATATCGATTCCAGTGAGGTATTTCATCAGTTCCCTCAATTTAGGTCCACCGACACCGTTGGCGCAGTCCACAGTCAAGGAACCTTGGACCTTGACTCCCCGCATGACCTTCTTGAAGGAGTTTGCAAGCTTCTCATAGTATCCTTGTTCAGTCGGCTCACCATACTCGTATTGTGTTCCAAGGGTGTTCTTGCAGCGAACGACGTAATGGAGCTGAGGGGTGGTCATGTATTTAAAGTCCACAAACTCGACCTCCGTCGCAGTGAGCGCGGCATTCAGAACGCTCACTAGGCGGGAGCCAGAAGCACGGGTGTCACGAGCGAATACCACACGAGCGGGGTTGGTCATCTTCACGTCGATTTCCTTGACAAGTTCGTCGTAGACATCGGCGATCTTATCCAATGGGGCATTTGCCAGTTTTGTCGCGTATGCTTCCCACTCGGCCTAGTTATGGCAGTGAGCACGTTATTCCAAATTCGGTGATTCAACGCAGGTCAATCTTACTTCAAGCATCTCACCCTAAAGAAATTATATAGGTTAGACTTGTCCTAATGGGGCTGGTACTATGACAGGGATCAATGGCTTAAACTCACCATGGGGTCAACCAACTTGACACCATTGTCCTCCGCGGGGTTGTGGCTAGCGGTAACCATAACACCAATCCATTGTCCGCTAAGTTTCTTCGACCGCAAGCTTGCAAGCAAGCCCACTGCGAAAACAACGGTGTTAAGGAGGTCACTGCGCAGCCAGATTGGTCAGAACAAGCCGGCGTCAACAAAAGGGCAATCGCGGGGTTCGAGAGATGTGGAGGCGGGGTGGATCAGCCATATTTGAAGAAACTTACGCTTTCATGCGAAACTATAATAAAGAGAATGGAAGTTAGCCGGCCTAATATCCAAGGTAGTAATGTTCATTTAGCAACGCGACATACCCCTGCTGTGCCATACTCAAATACCTTGCCCTCGGGCTTTGTGTACTGCAACGCCGCCTCGGTGATCGCTTTCTTGACAGCCGGAGAGGCCATGGTGCAAATGTGTGATTAGTTATAAAGCACCGTAAAAAGTTTCAAAAGGAGAGGTGCTCTGAAGCTTTAGGTAAAGTCGAGGTCGAAGAGGAGGGGAGTACTTGAAACAAAAAAAAAGCGGCTGAGGGGTGGGGGGAGTGAGACACGGTTTATTGCGACGGCCTTAGCGGTGAACAAATGGCGGGGAACACAGACCAAGACGCGGCAGGGGACGTGGCAATAACATATTTACCCGCATTAGCCGCCGTGGAAATTAACCGAAACGGTAAACAATCTAGTGGGAGCACCCCCGATCTTCATTACTGCTACCTCCACGTCTAAGCTACAGTCAAGCATGACATATTGACATGTCTATGCTATCCCCATGTATATATTTAAAGATCGCCGATTTCGATCCTCTTCTTTACGCCTTTAACCTATGCGCCGCAATATCGTCCTGTGTGTCCCTGATCAGGAACCTGTCCACAGCAACCGATGCATTAGTCATGGGAATGTGTTATGTCGCACGAAAAGGGGGGCGGACTTACGAATACCACCAAATAGCGGGGACCACTGTACCCAGATGCCAGAGGCTGTGCGCGTCAATCAACCCATTCCAAGGGGGAAAATCGAGCAATTCCAAACTCATGGCCATGATTATCCATGCCACAATCATACCAGGCCAGGCGGTCCAAGACTTCAAATGTCTTTGGTATCGGAAGATACTAAACCCGGTCCACATGAGGTTCTGGACAATGCCAACCACCACGTTCGCTATCATATTGTACGTGTAGTCCCAAGACCAGAAGGTAAGATAAGACACGTGCAATGTGTATAGCAGAACGCAGACAGCAGTCCAAAGCCGGCGTAGGGTTGGCCGGTATGGGGTATTTTCGAGGTCCAAGCGGAAGATTCGAACGACGGCAAGGTAAAGACCATACAGCACGCTAGCGCCGGCTGCCCAGTAGTCCAGCTTCTCGGTCAGGGGGAAATCCCGCATATGGAATATCATGCTGAAACTCCAGCTTGCAAGTC